TATGAAGTGGTGTTTTTCACAAAAGAAACAACTTTAAAAAAGGGAAAAAAATAACAAAGTAAAAAAGATTAACAAAAAATAAAAAATAAAGAAAGCAATGATCTGGAATCGAAAAAAAAGTAAAAAAAAGAGTGTGTAAATGATCGTGACTCGAACCACGGCCGTCTGTTTTGGGGCCGCCCGATTACCGACCGAGCTACTATAACATTTTTTTTGCGGCGAAATTTACATTCATATTCGAATGATATTTTCCATTCCCTGAAAACAGGGATAAAGATCGATTTTTCGCCCCCGAATCTACGCACATACCGTAAAACGGGGTGAATAGAAATATTTTTAGGAAAATTTCTAAAACCTCGTGATTCAAAAAATACTACAGAAATCTCAATTATTTGTATTTGTTTTTAAATGGCAACATATTTTCTTTTGTCTGACAACACTTGGAGAGGTTGAATTTGTCTAATGGTGAATTTCACCGTGTACAATCTCTAAAGGTAAGTTGTTCTGATTAGTATGATTATTAATATATTTTGTATAAAAACCCAACACACTTAAATATTCTTCAATTTAGAGGTGGATAGAGACGACTGAGGGGTAAATAGACACGGCCTATGGGGTTAATGGAAACGGGAGAGGGGAGAATGGAAACGGGGAAGTTCTAAATAGAAACGCCAAGGGGGTTTTTAGAACTAGTTTGGTTAGGGTTGTCACTTACTTTGATTTCATGTCGGCAAGTGTATAGAACACAGTCGGGTTCTTATGTTAATTAGAAAAATCCCTACCTAAATATGTAATTAAATTATTAAGATTTTTTCAATATTTCATTCTGCACTACGTCCTAAAAATAGCCGGAAAACTAAATTTCATAGGTGTAGAAATATATAAAATGTTTCAAGTATGTAACTATATTTAATTTTTTATATTTAATATGCAGGTAAACTGACTGATATATGCCGTGAAATAGAGCTACTGTTTCATCGGAAATTATAAAAATTTTTTTGAAGAATTGGAAATATCACTGAATGGTGTATCGATGTGTAACATCATTAATTACGACGAAACTAACCCTTCTGATGACCGACCCTGGCCGTAAAAAAATAATCACAAAAAAGGCGTAAAATATGCGGAACGAGTGATGAACCACTCCAAGTCTGCCAATTCTATCATGATCGCGTGCACAGCAGAGGGAGAACTATTGTCTCCTTATGTTGTGTACAAGGCGCAGCATATATATGATACTTGGACTTCAAAATTGTGTCATAAAGAAAAAATACATTTCATATTTCTGCCAGCTAACACAACGCACATTACTCAGCCATTGGATGTAGCATTTTTTAAACCGATGAAAACTGCTTGGCGAAATATATTGTGCCAGTGGAAAAAAACAGATGGTCGACAACAAGCAAGTATTCCAAAAGGAAGTTTTCCGCTCTTGCTTGCAATGCTGATGGACGCCCTAGAAAACAACGCATAAAGCAATATTTTGGGACGATTCAAAAAACTGTTGTGATTTGATTTATATATGTGTGTGTGTTTCGTAATAGTTTATTAATTTAATGTATAAATGATAACATTATGCTCAGTTTGTTTGTTGATGTTTTTGTTTGATGTTCTTTTAGCGTTTCAATAAAGTTTTTCTTACAACCATATTTCTCAATCAATTCTCATACAATTTTATATATACGTAATTGAGTTTCTCAATTAGGTTTCTACTCTACTATTTTATTAGGATTTTAAATAAAATGCCGTCATACTATTAGAGTATAGTATTTTGATAACCCTGTATTTTTTTTTCTATTAACCCCATATGCCGTATCTATTAACCCCATATTCCGGGCAAATGGAAATTGGCCTGTTTTTGCAGTTTTTTTCACAAGGTTCAAATAATTTACCATTTTTAAACAAATAAGGTTATAATTTATAGTAAGACTCCCAAGATCAAAGCAGATTTAATACCATAAACATTGTTTTTATATAGTTAATTTGCATTCGAAAGTCCATATTGTTTCGTTTAACCCCCTTTACGGTACTAAATTTCATGAAAATCGCTGGAGCCGTTTCCGAGATTCCGATTATATATATACAAGAATTGCTCGTTTAAAGGTATTAAGATATTTACAGAGTTATTAAATTTTACAAAACAAACATTTTTAGAACACCTTACGTATAAAACTGTAACGTCTAACTTTGCTACTTGCCAATAATCATAAAAAAATATAAGATTTAAAAGTCCATAATTTAAAAAAAAAATATTTTTCACATAAACTAATTAAATAAAAAAGAAACAAAATTTTTAATATCCTATACAACTACAAATGACTGATTCATATATTCAGTGACTTTTTCATTCGTTGGCTGTTTCATTATGGCACAACGACGCATTACAAATCTCTCCTTCTAACAGTATGTTTTATCTCTTTTTAATTCATTCAACCCATTCATATGTTGTGTGACCTTACGTTACAGTTTTATGCGTAAGGGTGTTCTCAAATTGTTTGTTTTGAAAAATTTAATAAGTCAGTAAATATTGATGTTTAAAGAATGTAAATGTTTAATATCTATAATTTTAAAAAGTTATCCTATATATGTGTGTTCATTTATTGTCGCGATTGTAACGACACGCTGTACAGGCGGATTCCCATTTACACTTAACAACGGCAAACGTAGTCGTTACTGTATTTTCTTATATTTAGGTCCCAATCATACATAATTATGAATATTTAAAAAAAAATATTTAAATTTGGGCTTTGAGATTATTTTGCGATGAGAATTTAGATTTAAAAGGCAAGTGTGTTTCGTTATACATTTAAAACTTAATTTTTTTTTTATACATACATAGTTAAATAAAACTTAATCAAAAATGAAAAGGAATAAATTATACAAGACGCACATGTAAAAATTGATTGCAAATAACTTTTGCATAAATGAAATACAAATGGAGAAATGCAGAATACATAAAAATTTAATAAAAATTTAACATAGTAGACCGCAGACCACGTTCAGTCACATTAGGAAAGTTATTGTAATATAATATTCACACGTGCAAGTCTTTAAGTGTGAAAATCGCTGTCACTTGTTAACTGTGCTTATCTATTACGTGGTATCATTACTTATTAGGTGCCGAAAAAGGACGGGCTCAAAACTTGTCACGTTTTGGCACTTAATAAACTCAGTAAGTACATAGCAGTGTTAATATCTCCCTTACCCTTTAAGGATGAAACATTTTTTTAATGTGAAAAGTTGTCAAGCGAGCAAATGGTTCACCTGATGTTAAGTGAATACCGCAGCCTGTGGACATCTGCTACACGCGAGTGTTCCAGATGCGTTGACAACCTTTTGAAAATTGGGCTCTGGCCACCTCACTCACCAGACAAAACGCGAAAGTATTATACTTTCACTTTACGCCGGTCTTCTGTGAGGTCGTGGTACTTACCCGGACGAGCCTGCCCATTCGTGCAACAGCCGAGGCTGCTGCGTGGCCCTACCACCGTAAAACACGTGAGCTTTTGACGATTTTAGGTAGTTACTAAGTGTAAGTAGTGTGTCTAAGTAGGATCAAAGACTTGAGGTGAAACAATTTCTAGTCGATTATAAATCCTGATGAGACAATGAGCCGTAGAATTCCGTACCCAAACGGTAGAAGAGAACGGCAGCTTATTACTAAACTTCCGCTGTCTGTCAGTCCGTCTGTCTGTCCTTCTGTCAGCAGGTTGTATTTCATGAACTGTGGTACTCAGACAAATATTTTTTTACAGATGAACTATTTCTTTTTTTACTATTTGTTGTTATAGCATAACAACAAATATTAAAAAACAGGATAAAAAATATTTAAGTGGGTTCCCATACAACAGACACAATTTGTTGCCGTTTTTATAGGTATAGGACTTGTACTTCGCTGGTTTTTGATGATATCGCCGTATACCATATTCCGCAAAATTATATAAGTAATTTAGATCGTAAAAAATAAAATACACAATTTTACATTTATATTATCATCTAGCCTTTAAGCGCTACAAAGTAATATAAAAGTAATCAAGCTTACCTCAATTGATATCGCCTAATGTTATTTAAACAATATTATATTAACGCTATACTTCTTTTGCCTTTTACAAGGCTGTTGCAAAGGATAACAGTAGCTCTAGTTGAAAATTTCAACATTAACAGTTTGATCAATATGGATGTCATAGATACGCGTAGCATATCGCCAAAAGGTGACCGTTCGAACACATTTTTGTTTTGTCACAAATTAATTTATTGCACAAATAAAATCAGTGTGTATGGAGAATACTACGGGGCAAGTACAAACCACAAAAGGCGCTGCGTTTCGAGAACCTTCGATTGATCCAGTGAAAGCTCAAGGCATTTTGTAATATAACTTGAATTTTTATAAATTTTTTTCGTACTCTTCATTTGCTATTTCGTGCTGACGTAATAAGAAAAGTACCGTGAATCAAAAACAACATAAATTTATTACGCAATTGCAACATCTATATATATTTCCCTTGGTCACGCCATCACGCGTGAACGGCTGCGGCTGGACCGATTCCATTTTGTTTGTTGTGTTTGTTATTATCCGGAGAAGGTTTTTATGAAAGAAAAAATTTAAAAAATTAGAAAATTTAAGAATACTTAACAACCATGTAATATTATTTCTAATTTAACTTCTTTCAGATATTGTTTCCATGTTTTTAACATGACCAGTTATATGTCGCCTGTTATATGTCGCCGTGACGGAATACCAACAAAAAAAAGGAAAATACTGTATATCATAAAGCATTAGGATAATAAACACACTTTTTTTACTAATTATACCAATTCGAATTAAATAGTCATCGTTAAGACAGGACAATGTCTGACGGGTCAGATATAATATAAAATATATAATTATTTATAACTGCTTCCTGATAATAAACATATTGTAACTTTATAGAACGTCGGTGACTAAAAAAAGTAAACATGCTGCTCGCTTGTGGAATAAACGATGGGGCTTTTATACTCGAATGCCGGAAATTCAAGAAGAAGAAGCCAAAAATTTAGGTGACAAAGTAGACATTATAATTCACAAAATTAGTATAATACAGTAATAGAACCTATTTCATATGTGAAAAGTTGGCAAGCGAACAGGCGGTTCACCTGGTGTTAAGTGATTACCGCCTATAGAAATCTACAACACCTGATGCGAAGCAGATGCGTTGCCAACCATTGAAAAGTGGGCTCTGGCCACCTCACACATCCCGCGAAAGTCAAAGCGCAAAGGTATAATGCTTTCCCTTCGCGGCGGCATTCTGTGAGGCCGTGGCACTTCCCCGGACGAGCCCTACCATTTGTGCAACAACAGTAGCTGCTGTGTGGCTCTACCACTAGATTGAAAATGTAGAAAATCTTTTAGATAGATAGAATCTTGAAAATCTTTTAGAAAATGACACTTAAAGAAATAGTCACCAGCAATACGACTTAAATGACAGAATATGTTGAAAATTAAAGAAACTACAAATACTTAAAGAGTTATTGAAATACTCATACGGTGTACGAAGACTGGGTGATCGATTAAGGGATAAAATAAGATTGCTTTTGAATAAAACTTAATCTCCCTGTAAATTTATATTTACAAAATTTACGATTGTATCTTAAACGGAGATTTTATTTTAAGCTTCAGATTGGCTACAGCTTTCTTTCTTTTATAATATTTGTTAAAATATTGAAATACAGTCGAACTTGGATAAGGGAGAGTTCAAAGCACCGCAATCTCTTTCTTGCTTATAGAGGTTTCTCACTAATCCGGTTTTCTAACTTGTAGAGGTACAGAAATGACCATTATCACTCATAGAGGTTGAATAAATAATAATTATACGACGTAAACGTTACTCACAAAAAATGTTTCATATTAATCACAGTCTAGAAAAAAACCTAATAAATCTTGCACTTGTATGTTAAAATTTTTTTTTCTTTTTCTGTGTTTACAATTTCTACATGCTTTTGTAGTTCGTAAGTTTTATCGGATTTTATCAAATTGAGGGCCAAATATGCGCAGAGACAGTTAATTCATGTGTTCCCCGACATAAACAGAATAGCTGCTATTTACACTTATTGTTAAATCCAGAGAAATTAAACAATGTAATAAACATAAATAAATAGGAACCGCAAGTGTTAAGCATATGCAGGACTGTCTTGTTAAGCACATGCTCGACTGTCGCTTATAGACTTATAGACAAGTAGCAGTCACAGTTATAGAGGTCTGCGCACAAATATCTTAGGCACTTAGACACTCTCTTATGGAGGCTGCTGTTTCTCATCCATTGAGGTTCTTCTTCTTCTCTTTCCTCTCCAATTACTGGAGGTTGGACATCAGCATAGAGAATTTTTCCTTGTCTCTAGCAAGGTGGAACAGCTTGGCAGCACTCGTTACTCCGGTCCACTCCCGAATATTCCGGAGCCAGGACTTTTTCCGACGGCCAACTCCACGTTTACCCGCAATTTTGCCCATCATGATGAGTTGCAATAAATCGTATCTCTATTGAGGTATTAGAGGCAAAAAATGATGGTACTAGGCAATTACTCTCACTTGGAGTTTTCTCGCTTACCCAGTTCTAAGGTTAAACTTACACAGGTTTGACTGTACATTTAATTTGTATGAAGTTTTCAAGATTAGTTGTAAATGTAACAATATAATTTTATAAAATCAATTGAATGGGCTCATATTTTCTTTATATAATCAAATGTTTTAATTATCCGTGTGTCCTCCTGTTCTGCACTGAGCGTTGGTATTGTAGGAGTTAGATAATATAAACAATTTCTCGCGTCTTTTACTGTAACAGACAATACTGAATTTGAGATGTAGAGCCATCCACGTTCGATCGAGTATAATATGTGAAAACCATGACACGTGGGAAGCCGTGATCGACATCAAACACATAGTAGCAGTGCAAAATTCTCAAAAAAGGTTTTGTTCAATGTTAAAGGCATGTCAGTGGATGAATATCGCAAAGCCCTTCGTGCAGTAAGCTGCAAACCGGATGAAGAGCTGCCTGTACTCATTGCACCGAGTCCAACACCATTGCCGCTGACATCTTCAGGCAAGTAGAAGAAACTTATCTTTCTGCCGATTCGATTAGGTAACAAAACGACTATTCGTTGCATTACTTAGTCAAATCGTTAAAAAATTATATGCATGTAATTTTTACGAACACTAAGAATAAATCGTTTAGTGTACCGCCGTAACGATGCCGTGCAATCTAAATCTAATCTAGAAGTAACATACCTTAGAACTTTTGCAACTCGCTACCGGGTAATTGTGAAGAAGGAATTAAAATAAATGAGACCAACTATTAATTTCCATTACACTTTGTGTCCTTTGATGGAAAACTCTAAAGGCTCTAACGAGGGAAAACCGCGTAAATGCTCAGAGTGGAGTAGCCGGGTGGTTCCATAGACAGAAAACTCTTACACAGATTACAGTGCTTAACTAAAGAAATATATCAAAGTTGTTTTTTCCAAACAAAAAAAGTTTAAGCTTTAAATTCTGTATTTATAATGTTCTTAATGCTGTCTACGAACGGCTAAGCTGAAAGAAAAATTTGAACGTAGAAAGTCTCCCGAATATTTGATTTTTGTTTCGTTTTTGCTTCACGTCTAAGGTTTCCTGCCCACGTTGAGAGAAGCAGCTATTTCCGTTAGTTGGTTCACACGATTTAAAATTTCTACGAAGCCCGACACGAGCTTCTTTACAATGCCGAAAGTAAAAAGTACGAAGTGTTCCGTACCATTTTTTTTTTAATTAAAACCACTTATCCTTTAACTATTATCTATAAAAACGGCAAAAAAATCATGTCTGTTGTATGGGAGCCCCATGTAACTATTTTTTATTCTGTTTTTTAAAATTCAACTGTCCAACTATCACGATTCATAAGATACAACCTGATGACAGACGGACAGACAGACAGCGAAGTCTTAGTAATAGGGTCCCGTTTTACCCTTTGGGTACGAAACCCTAAAAAAGTAAAGTATATATAAACACGCTATGTATCTCCCACTGTTGGGTCAAGGCCTCTCTGTACAGAGGTTATTAGACCATAGTCCACCACGAAGCTAAAATTGATTGATTGACAAAGCGAAGATAAAATTGGAGTGTATGTTTGTAACATTAAAATACCGCTTTTTACTACATGTATATAGATGTATACACGGTATGTTTATGTCTGTTTGTTCCGGCTAGTCTCTGAAACGGCTGGACCGATCTTCGACGGGACTTTTACTGGCAGATGGCTTAAGGAGTAATGTAGGCTACTTTTATTTTAGACATTGTATTTATGTTATTTTAACGTGGAAGAAGTCGCGGACACAGCAATATGTCTTAACCTTCTGTTAGATCCAAAAAGAAGCAATTTGATTATGAATACGAATGCAATTATAAACCAACGATGAAAAATATAAGATCAAATAGGTCTTATGTTTTTTATTCGAAGTACAACTTATTTTTTATTCGAAGTATTTCTCTCAGAATTCTTAAACATTACCCGTCCCGTAACAGTAGCAACTGGAGAAAACTTTTTTAAATTAAAAAGAATTAAAAAAATTACGCGTCACACAAAATAGTTCATCTGAATTTCGTCTGACATTAATAAATTGATATACTCGTCACATTAAGTTACTTAAACGTAAAGACAGACAGACACTTTGGCTCCCCTCTCATCTAAGGGGTACTTTGGTCAGGGCAGGGGCAGCATCGGAGGCAGCTGAAGTAAGTAAATGGCGCAAATATGAGTCTTTGTGTTTAGATTATGTATTTGTGCCATTTGCTGTTGAAACATTAGGTCCGTGGGGTCCCCGCACATCAAATTTTTTTTAAAAATTTATGTCCTAGGCTTTACGCCGCGGCTGGTGACAAGAGAGCTGGTTCTTTTCTCGCTCAAAGGTTAAGTATAACTATTCAGCGAGGAAATGCAGCTAGCGTTCTTGGCACCATGCCGCGTGGATTAGGTTTATTAGATAATATGTAATTTTAGATAGATTTAATCTTGTAAATATTAGATCAATAAAGAATATGTTGTTACTTAAATATTAAAAAAATAAACTTAAACGTCAATTTAATAATATCTAAGTACCACATATTTCAGTTCAGATAGAAATATTTACTCCCATCAGGGTGTAGAGTTTTGGACAGCCAAGCTTCGAGACAATTGGAGGGTTATTGTAGACCCACAAAGGGTTGTATAAATAGGCCAAGACCCACAAAGGGTTGTAGCGCCAACGGAAGAAGAAGAAGAAGGATGTAGAGTTTATCAACAAACTAAAAAAACCGGCTAAGTGCAAGTCGGACTTGCGCACGACGGGTTCCGTATGAATATTATCTATATAAACGGCAGAAAAATCAAGTTCGTTGTATGGGAGCCCCACTTAAATATTTTTTTCATGTATTTGTTGTTATAGCGACCACAGAAATACATCTGTGAAAATTTTAACTATGTAACTATCACGGTTCGTGAGGCACTGATGACTGACGGACAGACAGCGAAGTCTTAGTAATAGGTTCCGTTTTAACCTTTGGGTACGGAACCCTAAAAAGCGCGGATTCTGAGGCACTGATCATCGTAGAAATTAACTAATCAGCAGTCAAAATCTCTTTTGAGTTGCCAAAAAGATCGTTTAACTGTTTGAATTGAAAATTCTGATCTTTGATACTTTAACCATCCTTTTGGCAACTCAGTCACATTTGATGAAAATCCGGAATGTCAGAAACCGGGCGTTAATCTATAATTGCCTTTGTTGGCAAATAAAATAAATGTGATAAGTATGCATAAGTAAAACTGATAAATAAAAGTAATAATTCTCACATTCACATTAATGTTCTCCATATTTTTTTTACATTGTTTACAGGTGTGATCGGGCGGCGCGCTTTACACCCAATCGATTCCTATGGGCCGTTGGTGAAAACTGGACGTAATTACCCCACGAGACCGCCACTAGCTCCTGGCCAGGTCTACGATCCTTATAAACAAACCATGATATTTTTAGGGTAAACATATTATATAACATAAAGTTTATCGTCGATAAAGTGTAAATATTATAGAAGCACAGTATTATTTTGGCGCGTTTGGAAAAATTAGGAGTAAAATTTTTACCATGCTCGCGCACGACCCTCAAAAAGCGACATGTTTGATAACGAATTTTATCTTAGCAACGAATAAAAACTTCTCGTCATTTATGAATAATTCCAAGTTATTTACCTTTACTTTGTGTGAAAGAAAAATAAAAAATAAAAATAAATCAATTGCATTTAATGTCTTTACGCTAAAGAAGCTAACCTATAACTTCTTACTTGTACGAGTTATAATAGCTAATTTATGGAATTATCAAGCGATTGCGATAAGTATGCAAGTCTGTTATAATTAAAAACAAAAGAAAATGTTTTGATTTTCTAGCCTTCTTAAAACCTTTTCTTTTGGAGCGCTGGAAGATTAACAATCAATCCTTTGATGAATGTATAGCGATATTTACCTAATTTTAAGCTTAAAAATATTTACTTTAAAACAACTAAATTTTATATTGTTAAAAAATCTGATCAGTAGGTACTTGGAGATCAGTTGATACAAAAGTATTTGCATAAACTAAAATTATTTTACCACTTAACGTGATTTATTTCAGCGGAGACATAACTGATCCAATATCATACAAATTACCTCCGGCGCGATCTGAAGTCACCGACGAGATGTGGACACGGCCGCAACAACTTGCAGTTACACAATTCAATTTCAATAACGCTCATACAGAAAAATCGTAATTGTTAAAAAAATAAAATGTAAATATTTAAATTTATTCACAGAATCGTGTTATTAAGCCTTACAAAAATCCCCAATTAATAACTCTACTTGGTTTATAATGTAATTAAATAATACCTATGTACTATAAGTGTTATTAATATAATATACTATAATTATTATGGTAGAGAATAGTTGATATACTCAACCTACGGCCCGTCGGACTTTTATGGTTAGCCCATCTGACTTTATTATATTTAAAAAAAATATTGAAAATGCGCCCATAAGAAACAAACGGCCAAGTGAGGGTAGGACTCGCGCACCAAGGGTTCCGTAACATCACTACATAGTATAAAACAAAGTCGTCCCGCTGTCTGTCCCTATGTCTGCTTAGATCTTTAAAACTACGCAACGGATCTTCATGCGGTCTTTTTTTATTAGATAGAGTGGGAGAGAGATTCAAGTGGAAGGTTTATATTATGTATAATACATTGCACACGCGCGAAGCCGGAGCAGGTCGCTAGTTATCTATAAAAACGGTTAAAATAATTATGTCTGTGGTATGGGAGTGCTGCTTGAATATTTTTTGTTCTGTTTTTCAGTGTTTTTTTTTTTGTTATAGCGGCAACAGAAATACATCATCCGTGAAAATTTCAACTGTCTAACTGTCACGGTTTATGAGATACAGCCTGGTACGGACAGACAGACAGCAGAGTCTTAGTAATGCTGGGGTAATACGAGGTGCCGTTTTACTCATGAGGATTTATCATTTTGGGTACGGAATCCTAAAATTGAAAGCCGCTGAGTACATAGTTTTTGCATAACACACCCGCGCCGCAGTTTGTAGTGCTATTATTGATACGATAATATGAAGTCATATACTTTATTTTTTAATTTTCAAGACGTCATTTTAGTATTTCCATAAATACGACAAATCAAGTGTTTGGTTTGCCGATATTTTGTATCGGCCGTTTTAACTTTTAAGTTCCGTATCGGGCGAGCGACACCGCGGGAATCCTTTCCGTAGCTTCCATAATTCCATGTACAGTCGCGTTCAAAATAATATGCTATTTTTATTTTCCGGTTCTAGGTCTTTTTAGAATGTTATGCATATACGATATTTTTAAAAGAGCGGGGAAACAGTAGCTAAAATCCCAGCCTTTATTATTAGATTAAAAGGCTTAAATATAAATTTACAAACTCTAAGGAACTCTCTATTGATTTAAATAAAGGAATAATTTCGCTATCGAAGGAAGTGTTTGAACAAGTCAATATTGCCGAAATCTTGAAGATAGCACAGTTTACAATTTCCAGTGTTAAGCCTAGCCACAACATAATTTTAAAATTAACAGTTTTTTCCTTACATTTTTGTCCGTTTTGAAGAACAGCCGATGAACTTCGTTTTTTAATTTTAAAAGTCGTAATCAGGTTCTAATGGGGCTTAAACGTGGTTCTAGCGGGTAGCATACCTATTTTTAGTAACAGTTAGATAAAGTACTACACTTTACTAGACATCATACTAAAAATTCTAAAATCGACATCAATCTGTTCTTAGCATTCTTTGTGAAAGTCGAAATTCGTTATCTTATATCTATAACTGACCAAAGATAACCAAAAAATTTAATAATTAATTAATATTGAGCTATTGAGCGTCGTAGATAATGCATTTTAGATCATAAAGCTAGCTTTTGTTATTATAACCGTACCGGCTTCTCATGTCACGAGCGAAAATTTAAGCCAATAAATAATAATTCGTACGAAAAAGCAAGGTAGAAAACCTTAGAATTCATGTTAATAACCTTATTTTAAAATACAACAGTGCAATAAAACAACTATGTGTTATTTTTTTTTCCTTATTTCAGTAATTACATCGTCGCTTATAACATAAATGTTTTTATAATACAAAATATGATTCACCAAATGGTGGTTGCTTCTAAGACAAGTCGATTCTAAACGAGTTCTTAGGTTACATTATCCCATGTTATGTCTTTTGCTGGCTAAAGCTGGTGGCAATTGAGACACGATATTCTCTGGTAGAATTTCCAGAATAACCGCTTCGTCGTCCCCCATCCAATGAAAACCAGCTAAATACTGAAATAAAAAAAAATCCTAAGAACAAAATCTTCCCTTACAAATAAATCCACCTGACCACATATATGTTACCTTAAAAGGTATGATTTTAAAATATACGTCAAGACTGTTACTATTAGACTTCTTCGCTTTCGGTTCATGGTAAATAGTCTGAAAACAAAAATCTAAACTTTAAATAATTACTAAACAACAAAACAATATAATCGTGTATATAAATCTTTCTCCTATTTTCCAAATTATTAAATTTCGATTCAACATTTTACGGAGCTTAAGGTTCATAGCTAAGACAATTGAAACTAATCTTTAGTTGCACTTAGAGAAAATATCAAACCACGCTTACGCTTTTCAGAATTACCTGCAAACTTTTATCGATGACAAACAATGATGTAATGTCCTCAAACACGAGTGCATCTCTTTTACTGTGCACATTGATGGAGGCCACTGCATTCTGACGCGAAAGCCATTGCGGTGGCAACGTTCCACCCGGCCAATTAGTGAACTTTTTGTTCAACAAATCATACTCAACCAACTATAACAACCAAAGAATTTCAATGTGTAACGACACCTTAGCTTTCAGAACATGTAAATCATGTTGTTAATTATGTTGACTAGATTTATCGACCGGTCGCCTGACTGAAGTGAACTCTTAATGGGAAAAACCACCCAGTTCTGGTACAATTATCTGTAGGTCACAAAAATACTTGTCCTATGTGGGAATCAAACCACCGAAGCCAATAGCTAAGGAAATGCGCCATCTAGTAGAAATTGTCTATATTTTATATAAATATTTATTTATATAAATAAATATTTTCTGTCATTGACATCACTATTATTATATACTCGAATAAATGACATTATTACGTACTTGAATAAAAAATATATAAGTGCTAAATAAAAGTTGTAAATTAGGTTATTGTTTATACAGAACATGCAAAAAATATATGTTTTTAACGAAAGTACGTAAAATAAAAGATTCCTGCGCACATTATGTACAATGTGCTTGGCCATTAGCCAATGAATTGGCATAGTTACTGCGGCATTGCACACCATTGAAGGATTCCCTTAGAGGATAAAATTGCTATGAACAATGATGGTCCTAAATCATTGTTTCTGTGTGTTCGTTTTTCATCATTCTTAAAAATATTTTAAAACATTATCGAAACGTCAGAATGTAACATGTATCTGTTATCTATAATGGAGACTGCTCCATAAACCCTTATTCCAAAAATTGGACAAATTACCCATGTTCTCTAAAAAACTTATAAAAAGGTTGAAAGTATCACATCAGTTAAAGTGTAAAATAAATTAAGATTACTTGGATCATACATACCTTTTGATCAACATAAGCAACAATCAAGCATTGATTTTTACTATTAATAGATAATGCAGAAGGAACGCATCGATACTTGGGCAATGTGACATGATGTTCAAATTTCTTGTTACTTTGTGTCCAAACCACAATTCCACCTTCAGTGTCAGCAACAGCTAAATAAGTCATGTTGGAAGATGTTTTCTTTGAAAGATGAAAATGTAATGCAGTTTTACTCTTCAAATCTGGAACAACATAAACATTACAAAATATATTTTGAAATCAATATCAAAATAGAATTATTTATGTTACAGTCAGACATGGTTCAAACAATAACAATAATAAAAGTCATATACATAATACAATTGAGAGAAAACCATAAAATGAACATAAACCATATGCAGAACAAAAGTCCAAGGTTATTATTGTTATATCTCTTCATGTAAATCCCAAATGTAAATCCCAAACCATTTATAATTTTATCTTATTTTGTGTGGACTTATCTAAAATACTTACTTTATGAAATATTTACTGTTATTTCTTAACTTACATTTTTCAGTTGATATTGTTTGTACAATGGTTGCACCAGCTTCTGAATCAACATGTAGTACTCTTATTTCTCCACAAGAATGTACCAGCATTGTTTGGGAGTCCTCACTAAATGCAATACGGTCGCATATGGAAGAAAGCCCACTGATCAATACCTTTGTCAATGATATATTACTCTCATCCTCCTAATAACATTATATTACATAATTATTACTCATTTATAGCAATAAGTTTGACATACTATACATAAATTTTATATAAGGACATAAAATTGGACTTTGTAGGTTTAAATGCCGGTTACCTAAAATATATGAAACTTACCGAAAGACGCATCTGCGTATTCTGACGCAATGAGTTTTTCGGTAACTTTCTCGTAATGACTTCGAATTCCGTTTTATTTAAACCCACATTTATATTTTGTCTTGTGTGATAATAAATATCTGTTTTGAACTTACTGTATCTAATTTAAGCATTCTTATATAACTGTCAGTAGAATACACAATAAACTGTCCATTTGGTGATAATTCACAACAGAGAATTTGTTTATTCTTCTTTGGTATTACTGTAACAAACAGCACTGGTTTCTCTAGTACTTTAAGTTGCTGTAAATGATCTGTGGAGTCCATATTCACTTTTTTATAATCAGCTATAGCTGTATCTGGTTCAAGGTGGGGGTTATCTGCTTCATCCCCAAAATTTTTTTCCATGCTAACATTGCTTATGATTACATTACCACTTTCATTAACTTCATATGTCCCTAGTTTCCAAATCTCTAAATGTGTTGAATACCTAAAAATAAAATTGATATGCATTTGAAATTGTAAAATATTTCGTATGAAATTGTAAATTGTAGAATTGAAATTGTAAATTGTTTAATATTTAATCATTTGAAATTGTAATGCATTAGGTATAATTTTAATTAAATTACCTTAATAACAGAAGCTTTTTTTGTGCACATACAGATGATCTGATTCCAGGTATCATTGGAGGTATTCTCATGACCCACTTTGGTGGATATTTAGATAAGGTAAGGTAGCCATCAGCTCCAACTGATACCAAATTCTCACCATTTAAAATTAAAACTCTGAAAAAAAAAATGGTTACATGTAATAAGGCAACTAACACAAGAAGAAACTCAATCTATATCATGAGAACCAAATTTCTTAGAAAGTGACACAAATTTATTACTGAAAAAATTGTCTATGAAGATTTAGTAACATATTTATGTTTATTTAAAACTGAGACCACAGAATTTTTTAATAAAAGCTTTTATAAATTGGATGCAAAAAAACTGATGGTATGAAAAAAAGAAGTACCTGACATCATGTTCATGAATATTTCTCTGTACATTCTTCACCCACTGAGCACCAGATATTTTACCACATCCATTGCTTACTTTTTTAAAATTCATTATAACTGGATCCACCCCACTACAGTACAAACTGTTCTCATCCTCAGATACAACTATTGACAATATGTCAGATTTGTGGGTTGTGTAAGATTCAATCTGAAATTTAGATAAATGTATGGATACCTGGCTCTCCGAATAGGAACATTTGAAAGATTAGCTTTTTACAATTTTAAAACAATTTTATCTTGGCCAATGTTAACTCAATGGTTTGCATATTTATTTAAATCGAGCAAAGAAGCATAGTTTGGGTTTTTACAAACAAACTATCTTTGCAAATGTCTATATGGTATATTGCTTTAAAACAACTGCTGAAACAAGCTTTATTTTACCTGGTCACCAACTGAACTATCCCAAAATGTCAGCCTGCCATGACTATCTCCCGATACCACCATATTGTCTGACAGTACTGCAAGGCACCACACAATGGTTTCCTTTCCGCGTCTACTTACAGAAATACGGCATGTAGCATGGCCCGTTTCTACATTCCATACACGTATAGTGTTAATAGATCCTTAAATAGGGAAATGTTTTGAAGGACATGAAAACTAAAATTTTTAAATTAATAAAAGTATAGTCTATAATAAAATGTATGTTATGTAAACATTAAAAAAAACAAGGGGTTAAAATTTTAAAGTCGCCTTTGTAGGGGATCCAGGGGTGGTTGGGGGGAGGGGGGTGATGTTGTGTGTCACCCCCCACTTGCCCCCCTCGCCGGAGACGCATAGTTTTTGAATAATACAATTTTTAATTTTATTTATTTAATAGAATGTAATAAGAATGTCACGGGGGAAAATAATGCATTAGAGTGCTTGGTACAAACCTCCTTAACCCCCCCCCCCCCCCCCCCCCCCCCAAACTTACAGTGTACTTAAATTTTGGGCTACTCGATTCAAAACCCAACCCAAAATAAGTATCTTTACTCAATGATTTATTGATTATTTTTTCATACTTTCAACATATTTACAATTTCCAAAGTTATACCTGTTACCAATGTATTGCCAGTTTTATCAAATTTGCAGCACATTATTCTTCCTTCTTGCTTATCAAAGAGTTTCTCATAGACAATTTCATCATTGTTGAGGTTATACAGGTTAATATATCCCTGTTCAGTACCCACAGCAACTAATGTGTTTGTTGAATTGACATCAAGGCACCATGCTGCATATCCTGTTAAAATCACTGTATTTTTCACTTTTAATGTGTTAAGGTCCCATTCTAGTAAAGCCCCACCGAGGCCGGTTGACAACAACCTATTGTTAACCCATCCTAAAGCTTCCACAGAAGAGTTTTTTACACCGGGAATAAAGTTAACGGGATATGGAGAATAATTCAAATCCCATATTTCAATCGATGCATCGGCTCTGTAATAATGTAAAATATTTATTGAAATTTATTTTAACAAAATTTATAAAAATAATTACTTTTAAGGAAACATACCTTGCAAGAGCAAGCGATTTATTAATTTTATTAAACGAAGCACAATTAATTGATTCTGGTTTAGGATTATAAAAATGAACTCTATGTAATTTACATGACATTTTGATTTCCAGTTAATATCTTATGGTATATTAATATATTATAATAAGATTTCGGATTATTAATTCCCAAAACACATGGCCAAACCAAAACTTTGACATTAGCAGAGACTTGTAGAAGTGGGCGATACAAATCGTATCAGATATGAAAACTAGATATTAGTACAATATCCCAATATCGCTTACTGGCTCGTTCAATATCTATGTATTTTACAATATCTGATATTTCCGAAATCTGATGTACCGTGCTCGCTAGCTATAACCGACACGAATCGCGATACGGCGATATCATACGCGTTTGCCACAATATCTGATTTTTAAACAGATTTCGAGAAACAAAGCGCGTGAGATACAAATACTCACTAGTTAGAGCGGGACGGCAAGCAATGCACGATATCAGATATCGAGCGACAAAGCGCGTGAGATATAAATACTTACTAGTTAGAGTGGGACGGCAAGCAATGCACGAAATCAGATATCGAGCGACAAAGCGCGTGAGATATAAATACTTACTAGTTAGAGTGGGACGGCAAGCAATGCACGATCAGATCAGATATCGAGCGACAAAGCGCGTGAGATATAAATACTTACTAGTTAGAGTGGGACGGCAAGCAATGCACGATATCAGATATCGAGCGACAAAGCGCGTGAGATATAAATACTTACTAGTTAGAGTGGGACGGCAAGCAATGCACGATATCAGATATCGAGCGACAGAGCGCGTGAGATATAAACACTTATTAGTTAGAGTGGGACGGCAAGCAATGCACGATATCAGATTTTTAAACAGATATTATGAATAAGTTAAGTAATTTTGAATCTTAAAACCATGCGAATAAGATCCGTTTCATTTAAATACTAATCTTGGTATCGGCGATTACTACAACGATATTATTATATTTTTATTGTTTTGTTTAGCCTTGAGCCGTAACGGGCGACAAAGCGCGCAGTTAAGTAATTTTGAATCTTAACAGCATGGAAAAAAAACTCTGTTGCATTTAAATACGAATTACGGTATTACGATGTCTTTGAAATTTTGTTCAGCCTTGAGCTGGATTGCATTGGTACCTAGCACGTAATAGTAAGGGATGCCAACTTACTACTTAAGAATTTTCTGCCTAAATTAAGGAAGAAAAATATACAATGGAAATTTTTTAGGAGGTAAATTTTTTTGTGAATATTTTTATTAGCTAAATTTTATTCATATTTTTTGGAAAAAAATAAAGTACACAAAAGAAAAATATAATTTAATAGTGCTGTGCTGCTTTGGTGGAAATCAGACCAAGGCTTATGTGCCTTGTGTGTATATTTAAATTCTTCTTCTTCCGCCCTAAGCTATAATACTGAATGTATTATTTCTTACACAAATAATAAAAATATTTCCACTCGATTGCGTGTTCTAAAAATATGTTAAAGTCAATTATTAAGCGGTATATAAGATGTTAAAATAAATCATTTTTATATTACTTCAATTTATATTTTTAATGAAATTTTTAATTTAATAATTTAAAAAAAAACGCATTTTTAGTAAGACAGGGTTAATTATTAATGATCGTCGAACAAGACTTTCGACGAATAAAGTCAGAGAGCTTACGTTCCTAAACGTGAATTTGAACCCGGAGGGATATAAATAATTATTAACCCTGACATAATTGTAAATATATAATGTTAAGTTTTAAATATAAGGAAAATTATGTACATAGAATGAATCAACTTTTAAATACGCCTGCACAATTTTATATTTATAATAACAATTTTATATAAATATATAAGTATACAATTTTTTTTTTTTTTTTTAGAATTCTATTAATCAACGTGGATAGGGAACCGTAAAATATCTAGATATTAAAATACATAGTTTCGAAATCTGATATTTGAAATCGATATCGGATTCAGATACGGTACTCAGAAAAAGCGATACGACCCATCCCTAGAGACTTGAGACATGCAATGACCACAGAGTACTTTGTAATATAGGAAATGACACTGTGTGTCAAAATTACCACGTGCACGGTGCAACTTCGTAGTATTACTTTACTCTATGGTGCAACCCGTTTTACGCCGGTCCCAGCACGAAGTCGGGAAACAAGGTGAATGAAAACAAGTGCAAGTGCCATGTGGGCGTAACCCGACTAACTGAAGCTAATATGAGTTCTGACGCGATTGTCCTCCTGATCAGAAATTCCTTTTATAATGTTGTATTGCGTAATTTAGGACTGCAAAAATAATAGCTGAAAAAAATTCTCAAAAAAAAAAGGGTTTCACATCACAAGCAAATGCTATTTTAGTACATTTAACAAAATAAAACAATTTTACCAAAAATCGAAAATTTTATTTGAACTATGCTCACAGAGTAACATTATTTAACGTAAAAAATGTTTAATGTATTACCGTGTATTTTGGCTTGTCGAGAAATGTGCTACACAAGTACTGATTGCTATAATGTTCTTTGCTACTTATGTGAATGACCATTAGTTTTACGGATAGTATCGATATGTATAACAATTTGATGATGGATTTAAGTAAACATGTAATAACCAGTACATTAAGTTCATAACCATAGTTATAATTTTACTGTAAACAATCATGTTCATCTTGAGGATATTTACTTCAATTGTTTTACTTGGACTTATTTTAATTGGAGTTTTGTAAAAATAGTGGACAAATGCAACAAGCAGAATCAATTCCATGCTATCTCAATCAACCATGAATTTTTTATAACATTATGTGGAAACCTAATCCGGACATGACGTCACTCCAGGTATAAGTGATCAAACCAGTCGTTAATATTGATATGAATCTCTATCGCTACCATAAACGACTAGCTGCGCAAGTTGAAGGCTTGTATTCAATATCGCGGAGGTCAATTCGAATAACTTTAATTAGCATAAGAATTTATGTTTTTGTAAGTTTCATTTTATATATATACGGTTACTGTAAAAACAAACACGTGTCAATTATTTCTAAATAAACATGTGGCTGAACTTATGATCCGAGTAGGTAATACAGATATCCGCTAGATTTAGTTTCTTTGCATTATTAGACACTTATATGACCTGCATAATTGATTTGTATTTAAATTAATTGACGTGCTAGTCTTATATTATTCTTTTCGATTGCTATATTTTTATTTTATCATTTTCCTTAATTAATTCGTTAATTCACTACGCACATTTGAACTAGGGTGCACGAAAGGAGCTTCCCTGAGCGATGTACATACAGAGTCCGTACTACCGGCGCACCCTGGGCAACACGTCAATGATTTCTCTCTACTGACTGGTCAATCCTTTCACCACGATGACAAATCCTGATCATCCACATGATAGTCCAGCGCTCAAGCCAGCTCTGCCTCTAAACTCGATTAACATCGAAGGATTATCCGAGGGCAAGACTTGCAGAATTATGTCGTACAATACACTGTGACGTCCTCTGTGTGCAAGAAACCCACCGAGACGAAACGGAAAGGCGACCACACGTAGCTGGACTGACTCTCATCTCCGAGCTTACCATCCGAAATACGGTAACGCAGTAGTTATTACCCCCGGAGTGAGTGTAAGATCAACAAAGTGTTTGACCCAAACGGCATCGAGGACTCAATCATCCATCGATTCTCTAGGAGCAAGGAAAATATGTTCAGGTGTGGATTCTCGGAGAGCCCAGACCTATATTGTGTGTGCGGAGCGATGCAGTCCATGGCTCATCTGGTGTCCTGTTCTGCATGCCCTTCCACCTATTCGCTGCAGGATTTGATGGACGCCACGAATTGTCGAAGTGGTCAAGTTCTGGGCCGGAAAGATATAATTTGTTATCGACACGCAAAGAATATTTGAACCCTCTATACAGAACAAGGACAGTATTAAATCTCAAAATTTACCATGGTTGTAACTAAAATATCGATAAATCTTATTTAAGTATGATCACAACACTACTAATTAAAAATACTAACTTCTTTGTGTGAAGTTAGTAATAGGAAATAATTGTCTTTAACTCAAAGAGGTAAGAACGTTGGTGAGTACATATTACGTTCGTAACATTTGTTGTCGAGAGACAGTACTCGCTTGATATTTTTTTTCATAAGAGTTTAAAACGGAAAACGTCACAAACACATTGTGAGTCATTCATAAAATAAAATCTTAATATCCAGGTTTTAAGGTATATTTTTTAATTAATAGCAGTTAACATTTAGATTACATATTGTGAATAGTTAAAGCCAATAGCACCTAAGATACACTTGTAGTTCAATATACAACACAATAGTAGTGAGTTTGGCGACAGCGGGTCCGGTACTAGGGAAGGAACCACTTCTACTGTTTTCTTTATTCCGTGGGTTCCAGACATGTGGGAGAATATTAGCAAAATATTTGTAAAAATATTTGTTATTTCATACTTCCGTAGCGTGTCGGTTTTTCAATGAATATCAGAGCAAGCAATAGTGTGTCGGCTTTTCAACGGACATGAAAGCGAACAAAGAGTAAATACTTGTGAATGCTGCTATACTTGTTGAAGCATCTGAGTTTTTCTCCCGCAATAGTCACCTGGGGTTAGAAGCGGCTATCATTCGCCGTCACGATTGGATCGGAACAGTATCCGACGACTATTGGACTATAGATCGAAGATCGCCGTAACGGCGGTTTCGAGTAACTATTCTATCGGAGACTTTATCTAAGTGCTCATGGATGCGAGCAATAGGTGACCCAACTTTTTCTTGTCAGTTACGGTCATAAGGAAGGTTGTACCTGGTCGGCCTAGTACTAACTTGACCCGGCGATGGTCAGAGTTAAATTCAGTAACTACTTCCAAGGAATATTTAAAGAAATATGTAAAGATTCTTTAGAATGGATGTATCTAAAATTTGGGGATTTTAATTCAGGTTCGGAGGCACCTTGGTACGGACTAGGTCCAGAGGCCTAGGACGTCAAAAACTAAACAAAAAATTACATTAAATAAGTAATAGAATTATAGTATAATGCTACTGCTTCGATTCACCATGTCGCGCATTGTATCCCTCATCTTTGAACTCAAGATTCAAAAGCTCAAAGATTTTGTTAGAACATTTAACAGATTTATATTTCCGAAAATATTTTTAAAAACATTTGCACACATGTCTGGGACGGCTCACCTATGTTGTCTATGGAATCCATAAAGTATACTTATTTGATGTTTTAGTTTTTTTATACCTAAACCTAAACCACTAAACCTCGTCTCGTATTCGTCGACTGGTTGATAATTTTCGTCAAAAGAAAGAATTCCTTGTTCATTAGATATTTACATATTGTGTAGTTGAAATTTTCTTGTTCCGCAATGGGGGACGGCCAAAACGAAAATCAACCTCTGCTAGGGGATGGTAAATAATTATATTATTCTGAACGACTGATGATTCAATTATTGTCTAAAAATATTTTTATTATTAAACAATGCCTACTTAAATAATACAGAGATTACGTTGCTAGATTATATGTTTATATTGTGTAATGGCGCATTCGCCTATTACGTTAGCTTGTTTTTAGTAACATGCAACTTTGTTACTCAACAGAAGAAGTAAATGTAAGCACAATTTCTCCTATCGGACCGGATGAGCTGCCACCACCGTACCAACAGGCAGGAATGCCTATGGTGACTTGCCGTGTCTGCCAGTCAATGATAGATATTTCTGGGAAAAGGGAACAACATGTTGTCAAATGTGCTGTGTGTCATGAAGCTACAGTAAGTCATATAATACTTATGCTTTAAAATATCGCTTCAGTAACTAACTTACTGTAGTATTCAAAATTAAGTATAGTTACACCTAAGTAAAAAATATTTTAGGTGAATAAATAATTTCTTGTATATATGTTTCAAATAATTTTTTGTATACATGGCTGAAAAAGTGTGTTCCTAGAACTAAGAAAATTCTTTGAGTTTTCTACATTTTGTTATAGTTATTAGGAGTGAGTTATACTAGTTAAAATGGAGTACCGGTTACAAAAAAACAGGCTGTTTTTTCATACTATGTTGTGACTATTTGTGTAACTATTACTACAGAGTTACAGCTGTTTATGTTAGTTGTTTGTGTGTACTTCAAATGTCCGAACCAATTAACAGGTGAAAAAATTTATCATGTTGCATTTTCATACTTCTTTTTCTAACAAGTTATATGAACTGATGCAAGAAAAAGAAAGAATTTGTGATAGGCAAAATGTTCAGTAATAACTGTGACAGGGTGTAACAATTTTTATCTCTTTCTAAGGTAATAGGTAGAGTTTGCAACGGAGATATCCGCAGTAGATTAAAAGTGACTGACATATCTCAGAATATTAGCAAGCTAAAGTGGCTACAGGCCTGCCATAGAGCTCATAGAACTGATAACGAGAAGAAAGGTTCTTGAGTGGCAGCCTCGTACTGGCTATCGCATTGTAGGACTACCCACTGGATGGAGTGACAACCTATACAAATGAGTTGAAGGTCAATGGATGCAAGTGGCTCAGTCTATGGGGGAGTTTTATATTTAACAGTGGATGCAAACAAACTAAAATGATTATGATGATGATTGCGACAACACATTAAGGTCACTGTGTTGCAGGAACTGTTATGATAAATATGCCTCAGTCCTAATTGTTATATCATAGTTTTAAATCAACATTTCTTTTACTTAGAACAGATTTTACGAAATTGCACAAAACTATGTTTGCTGGATCAGCTAGTAGTTATATATATATATTTAATCATAATGAAATGTATCCAAAATAATTAGTGATTGAACAATAAAAACAAAGATACCCTTTTCCCAGATTTTGATGATAAATCCACTATTTTAAGTAAGGATCTCTTAAAGTATCAAAACATATAAGTAAATATAAGTATAATATACAGATCATAATAATAGAGATGTTTTGAAAAAAAGTATATGCTATTTTTGAGTAAAAATTGTTATTTCATTACTAAAACATGGATGTTCAATTTGAAATATTTATCATTGTATTATTTAATTATTGATGCAATAAACCACAAAAAATGTTTTCATTACAGCCTAGTAATACAATAGGCCACAAAAAATGTTTTCATTACAGCCTATACGGAATGCCCCACCAGGAAAAAAGTATGTGCGTTGTCCTTGCAATTGTTTACTGATTTGCAAGTCATCATCACAGCGCATTGCATGTCCCAGACCAGACTGCAAAAGGATTATCAACCTTGCACCATCACCTGTTACCCCACCAGTCTCTACATTGCCTGGAATGTGCAGGGTGATTTGTGCGCATTGCCAGGATACTTTCCTAGTATGTATAATTATGTTATAATTTATAATATATTACAATTTGGGACTAAATAAAATAATTTGTCTTAGAAAATAAATTCATTTAGTGAGTAAACAATCAATACCTGAACTGCAAATGTATGAGAATTTTCCTCAATGATATTTCATTCATAGAATGTACAATTATTCAGTTTTACTTTATTTGGATACAGTGAAAGACATGATATACCATAGTGCTAAATTATTTTATCTACACTGTAAAATAGTCCTAATAGGTACTTTTGCTAATATAGTAGTCATTTTCATTATACCCAAAATTTGTTAGTATAATTTGGTTTGGAATAATAGGAAATATTTGGATTATTCAGCCAATGGAAGCTTTAAATCTTAGGATTGTTCATGTTTTATAAAGCATTCTATATTTTATGCTCAAAACCAGTTAATGGCTTAAGGATTTTTTGTCTCTTTTGTGCGACCAATTAATGATTTCTGAAACACTGATCATCATAGAAGTTAACTCATCAGCTTGTCAATGTTAGTGTTATCTTAATTGGTCACACAAATGAGACAAAAATACTATAATGGATTTTGAATTTTATGTCCATTTTTTTTTTATTTTTAAAACTAATTAATAATAAAATGATAAAGTAAAATAATATATGTGATGATAAGTAAAGTTTTTTTAATTTAATTTACAGTATCCACGCTTGAGGTCCGCACCGGCGCGATGCCCACATTGTCGTAAGGTGTCATCCGTTGGCTCGGCCATGATCTTTCGTGGGACTATTTTCGCCGTGTTAGCAGTCATATTCTTTGCTATTGCTTTAGGCGTAACCCTGGGCACTCTTAATGCAGCTAAGGCTCATGGAGGAGGTATTTATGTGGCATATGTTGGCGCTTTCTTGGTCGCATTATTCCTGGCCACTCGAGCTGTTTATTACTTTGCAATGAAAGTTAGTCAGATCGAGGAGCCAATGTAGAAATCCTCTGTATATTGGTTAATTTTGTGATAGTATGATTAGGAAATGATAAAATATGTCTATTCCATAATACATTATGTTACATATATACATTTAAATTTGAGACCTGAACATAAAATGAGTAACTGTACTATTATTATCATGTATTGAACCCATTTTATATATGGTCATTGTTTTAAATTCTGCTATTTATGTCTCATTTATGGCTGCTATATTGATTAACTTTAATAGGATCACACATTTTAAATTATTCCACCTTCTTATTTAAAACAAAATTTTCAGATGTTATATATCAGTCTATTGTATAACTGGATACTTGTGTTTACTTTCTGAAATATCACCACACTTATTATACTTTAAATTTCGTAATTTGTGCAGATAAACATTTTTTATATAAAAAAATAGACTGATCAAGACCTGCTTATAGTATTGCTGCATTTCATTGTCTTTAATTTAAAACTTACAACGATTTACATATTAGCAATAAAGGAAATTCAAAAGAAATCTGTCAATTTACTCTTATTTCATATAAGAGTAAATTGACAGATTTCTTTTGAACTAAACAATTTGGTTATTATGTTGTCTCGTCGATTATTTTCCATTTTTAGGTTTTAGTAATAGAATGCAAACACCATTAACCATACAATACAGTAAAAGATATGTGTGCCTTTTAAGTAATTTTAATAACAAAATAAACATGACAAAGGTTTCATTTTTGCCAATGATATTGATTCTGCCTGCAATGTATAGGTATTCTTTAAAATAAATGTAAAATGTATCATTGCTGTTCTGTGACATTAACTAGTGGTTATAGCAATAATATTTGAAATGAGATTATCTTAATATTTTTCGTGAATGCATGTACAATAAAATACATCCATAAAAAAATATGACAATACAGTTGATTAGTGAGAGTTATTTCTTTCAAGACAGGGTAAAAGAAACCTGTGTTTATTTTTGATTCTTTATTACTGTGTTGTTTTTATATAAAAAGACTCATTTTTGTAACGTTCTCCTTAATAGTATTTTTTCGTTGTTATTTATAGTATCATATAGAGAATGTAATATTGGTATCGTAAATTGAGTGATTTTGGCTTACACTTTTAAAGCCATATAGTCAAAGAGAACATTTGTGTGTAAAGTTTAGATTTGAACTAATAAGGTTATAAAAACAATAACATTTACATGTGAAAGTTAAGAATGGATTTAAATTATAATTGTTGTGTCCTTTTATTCCACATACCCATTTATATGTCTAATAACTGGCCTGTCTGTGTCTACATCTTAACAAATAACTGATATTACAACTACAGCTAAGACATAAATGGTAATTTGGACAACAGAATTCCATATCATGCAAATTAACTGCTTCGCATAATTATGTGCGAGGTAAGTGAGCAGTTTAAATACTTTATATTTTGGTTGCTAATGTAATAATTATAGAATGTGCCCTTTTAAAATAATTACTAATTTATTTTCCATTCATATACATACTTGATATTATTTATAAACCAGTTTGTTATAAATCCAAAGAAATATAAACTCCACTAAAGAAAAAATTTGAGTATGTATAAGAATTAGTATTTGGATATAGATGATTTTTATAATATATAAATATATACGGGGGTATATCAAAACAACAATCCTGTTTAAATTTGATGTGGTTGTTTGTTTACTATGAAGCACTTGTACCTGTCAGTGAGGGAACCCTGGGAGTTAAGCCATATTAACTACTTATAAATTAAAATAAAATTTCTTTACTGTCGATACTAAGATTATTCCTATAACCTATAGTTTAAATTGAGAATAATTATAAATTATTTGTGGTATGCGCTTATAATTAAACTTTACCATGACTATGAATATAATATCTTTCATTGCGTTTAAGCACATCAACTCGGCCATCTCAAAAGTAACTGGTGTAGGTTATTATAAATAGATCTAAATTCTTAATGTAATTCCAGATATATTGTTTCATAATAAACGAGTTAAAATGTTTAGAAATACATGTTAAAGTATATTGTTGTAGTAACATAAAACATATTATTATGATTTTTATTGTCATTATGCATACTTTCATACATGCTACGGCTTTATACATATAATTACTATATAATTATTGTAGATATAAGTCAAATAAATGGTACCTACAAACTATTTTTATTTCTTTAACCAGAATTACTTAAAGATCGTTGCCAAGACAGATACATCTAACACTTAGATAGAATTCCTTAAAATCTCCTGAAAGTGACTTGTGGAGCTTCAGGAACATTCAATAGGTAATTGAACAGAAGCTACAGCAAGGTTAGAATAATTTATTGCTTGATGAAGAAATAATTTATCAGAATAATTCTTCAAACGTGTTTCAATAACGAAAGGAAGAGTTATATTAATGATTAAGACTTAAATAAAAAATCTTCCCCAAGGGATGAAATTGGAAAATGCCACAGGGCTCTAAAATAGATGGAACATTGATGGAAACGAAACCTACGGATGATGTCGTTCAGGGCACTGTGGCAAGAAAATCGACCAGCACTTTTTTGACAAGAAAGTCAGTGGAGGCCATATTTATATATATAAATCGACACCACAAGGGCATTGATGTAGTTGACAAACCGGGGCCCCCTCGGCCGTCCTAAGCCCCAGGCCATATTAAGTACCAGTCGCCCCTTTCTCAGCACCCAACATAATGAATATACTCTATTGCAAACTTTTATCGAAACGGCAAGCTAAGTATCAAAGCTGCTAGTTTGTAATATTTTCCTACCTTTAAGAGATATTTGCTCCTGTCAACTACAGATTTATTCTCATGCAAAATATGATATTATAAATATTTGACAATGTTATGCTTTGTAGAAAAAAAGGACGAAAAATTTTTCGCCGCTGGCTGCGGGAATTGAACCCATGTTTAACCACTAAGCTAAATTACCGACTGACTTTTTCACACTGACGAAAATCTCAACGCCTTTTATCTACATTGTTTTTTCCAATTTCGAGCAAGGCTTGGCGCATCTATTGTTAAGCGTAATTATTATACTTACGTGAATTATTTTGAACTCGTCATAAATAAGGAAACGATCGGTCTTCTTAACAGTTACTGGCGGGGAATACACACGCACACAACGAAGAGCAATATTCATCCACGTTGGGGTAAATCGTTTGAAGACCTTCAGTTCCTAACCATTTAAAAATCTCAGTATTGCTTTGATCCTCATTTGTTTATACTACAGTGAGCACGAAAATGGAGATATTCTTCTGATATTTTTTATGTGAGCCACCTAGGCAAGCAAGTTAACGGTTCAACTGATGTTAAGTGATAACCGACGCCCGGGTGTAGATGCGTTGCCACCTTTTAATAAACTGGGACTCGGCTACCTCACTCACCAGAACGTTGCACAAAAAAAGCACAGTAGTGGACGGCCAAGCATCAAAGCGCTATGGTAATTGGCGGTTCGACGAGATGTACGATGAAATTTAGGAGCAGGTATCAATCCGAACAATTCCTTAGGACACTTCCCGTAATATATGCGATATAAAATGCAAAGGGATGCAACATCCCTTCGCAATCCCTTCAAGGTTAGGAAGAGTCAAGGCGATGTACTTTAATTCGTAGTGTGATAGAGATAAAATTTTGGGTAAAATAATTTTATCGGAAAAAGAAATCTTGTTAGCTAGAAAAGTTCACATTTGAAATTATGAAAAGTAGGGGTGAGAGTGAAATTTTAAGATGCGCGCGCATCACTGTAACTCAAAAGTAACAACTTTGAAGCTGCCCGCTAAACCACTTATATTTTTATATATGGTAGCATATTCTCAATCACATTCACCCTTTACAGATCTCAATAAAGAGTGAGATAGAACGCTTTCATAATTTTTTTAATTATTATTTTATTGTAATTCATTTATTTGCATGCAATTAAAAACTATTTTTAATGATGCCAAAGATGTATAACTTCTCACGCGCGTACTTTAGCTTTACAGTAGCCTATGTGTTTTTTCAATGTATACACCTTGCGTCAATTATTATCGTCTGTCCCAAAGAGTCTAAAACGTTATAATGAATATCATACATAGATGACATCACATTAAAGGTAAAGGCAAATGGTAAAAAGTTGATGCGTGGAATTGATTTCACAACCGTCAGCACGTGAGCTTATCGCTGATCAATGTATGTATTGAAAGTATTAAATTAGAAGTTCTGTTATTGTTCATGTTCATTAAACAAATTCTTGTGATCATGCTCGACGTGTGTTAGATTCGGGAGCTGGCTGATCCTTTATTTCAAAGCTTAGATGGCCCTATGAGCTATGGGGCCCTGGTGCACTGCACCATTTGCACCTACGATAGCTACGCCCCTGGTAACAAAAACGTTTCGGTAAGTGGACTCGGTACTCATAATTTTTGTAGTAGCATTGGCAATTTATACCTGGCTATCTCAGACACTGGTTAAGTGGAATAACTCTATAAATGGTCCCTTGATATCTCAATTAAACACGTTTTACTAATTTCATTTTAATATTTTCTTTTAATATAATAAAAAGCACTCCGTAGCATTTTGTTTATTTCAAAGATTTTATTCAAATTCTATGTAAGATATTAAATATGTCAAAAGTTGTACACACAAGAACACAAATTATTACGTATAAATATCTTTTGTGACCTTGAAACAGTTAAATGCACTGCACATACATTCTATATTACATGATTTTTAAATAAATAAAAAAAAAACAATTTATTGAATACAATTAATTAAAATTGAATATAGGTACTTCAGGTTGGAATACTAAAACTTTCACGACTAGACATAAAACTACGTGGTAAAAAAATATTCTTCCACAATTGTATAGATTATTTAAATTTTTATAAAAAAATACTACATCTTATAATTCCTAAACTATAACAAAAACAAAAAAACTTGAAGGGAATGTTATACTGCATAAAAATTTACTAGGGTAAATCATAAATTTAGTGCCATTGTATATACCTTAATTAAAATCACAAAATTATAGTTCCAATCCCTTTTGATGATAAATACGAACATAGACCAAAATGGCTTTACTTTATATCATGGCAGTTACGTGTCGAATCTTTCAATACTCGTGAAAAATTATTACGTCCAATGACGGCAGACTTGTAAGGTATTACAAATAATGCTCAGACATGGAGACCTGAATACGGTTAATTCTTTTCAATATCTTTTTTGATACTAATGGCACCATTTTGGAGGACATATTGATGTATCATCTCTTAGTTGTTTAATGGGAAAATTATGAGACGATGAGTGATCAACATCGTAAAAATTCTCGCGGCCTTAAAGATAGGATCAGAACCCCTAATAATAATCGGATGTAATATATCCCTCCCGCAATAGAAACATTCTGATACTAAATTAGTTTCGAAAGCAGATACTTTTAGAATACGATTTTAAGTTTTATACACGCGTTTTCACCCGTCGCTCATCGTTGTCTTTTTCAATGCGTTTACGTATGTACTGGATAGATGCTTTGATAATATAATAAAATGTGTCAGTTGTAAATAAGCATTTTGTACTCTTAATCGCCTTTGTACAGAGAGTTTAGCTCGATGACATGACTGTTAGTTTTACTCGACTAATCATTTTTATTGTTTGGGTCCGTTATTTATTATACATATTCCTCGTATCTGCAATTCACCAATATTAAATTTGGTCACATTTCAGCTTTTTTAACAGATAGGTACTCATATAAATTCGAGAAACACCGACTATTACAAGCTCAAAAACCCATAACAGTAATTTTCAGTAAGTATAAAACAAAACATTCGATTATTTAAAATAAATATAAATATTCATGCGGCCACGAAACTAAATACACGTAATTACACTTTGCGAATAAAAGATATTGATAAGGACCAAAGTAATAATATAATACAGAACTATCGTTTTCAAATGTTTGTCTTAAAATTAAAACTAAAGTTTTAGTCAATTTAGCTGCATTGAAGATAAATTAGTGGGCTTTGTCGTAGGTATCCTTGTGCTGGTACCCGGTAACGTATCCTGACGAGTCCACGAGTTCCTTACGTCCAGCTATGCCTTTGCCTTTTCCCGTCTCGTCGAACCTTTGCTTGTGTGAGCCCGTGTATTTGCTCGTGTCCGTTAATCTATCCACGGCAGCAGCGGCCGCCGGAGATTTTGGTAACTGTAAATTGCAAGCATACCTTTTGATTTTTATTGTGATTGTTGTTTTAATAAATTCCCTTAACTTATAGATTCGGAAATTATGATTTTTATAATGATTGTTGAAAAAAGGCCTTACGTGAGTGGTAATTCCGGGTTGTCCGCATGTCGTTAATTTTCTTTTTATGTCCTCTAGCTCCACTTTCTTACTTTTAGCCAAATCGTCCAGAAACTTTTGATAGTCATCTACACCAACTTTCAGGGACTTAAGCTTTTTAAAGTGTATGGCCGTGTCGGTGGTAGTGATTTTCTTTCCATCGATCACTTTCGCTTGCTTCATCCACTTGTCGCTTTGGGACAAAGTTATCAGCTTGCCGTCCGACTTCGGATCGCCAAATTTCGAAAACAACTTAAAGGCATCCTGGAAGAAACAGAACAATTGTTGTCAGAAGTCTTCGTTATAAGTAGAACAGTGAGCTCGTATGGATTAAGAAATTTAATATTGATTTAAATGTATAAAGTACGGTATCCTTCGTGCAATACTATATCATCATCTAAATTGCTAGATTTTTCTAAATTTAAAAATTTCAAGGCATATCAACTCTATATTCAACCATAAATTGAAAACTTTTTATTTACTAAGTATAACCGATTTTGTATCTTTATGTCTTTTGGTGCCACGTGAGTCATTTATAATTAAAAGTAGGTTGCTATCCGAATAGCCGAAGTCGAGGTTCCTGGTACGGATACGATAGCATGTCTACCGCAAATAATGGTTGATCAGATAATTCCCAAAGGTTTAAAAGGTGTAATAGCCTAAAATACTGTTTGATGCTAGTGCAAATCATTAACTCTGCTATAGCTTAAAGTAATTTCTGTTGTTCAAACATAACGTAGATTGTTTATCTCTAAAACGAAACTGCTGCAAAATGTGACATAATTTCGATTAATTTATTTTTGTGCTCCCAATTTAATATTATTGTAAAAATGTATCCAGCACGCCATGAAGGAATGGTGGTACGTATGCAACATAACGACTCGAGTAAACGATAGAAGGAGTTTATGTTATTTTCTAATATTTACCTACATCATGAACGCCGCTAACACTATTTGATAATTTGAAGGTCAAATATAACGCAATGAATATAAAGTAAATTATTGTGGCACTATTTTAAAAATAACGTTACACATAATTTCTTAAAAGTAAAAAAAAAATCAGGCCTTCCTCTCTTTATTTGAGAACCGACGAATAATTTGTCCTTTCTAAATACTTGTGAAAGCCTAAATTAAAGACTCCAATCGTTTAAATTGTGTAAGGAGGATTCACTTTTCTAGCGACTTCTCATAGAACTTAAACCATTAATGCGTAATTTACTCTGTAAAGAGTATTATAATTGTTTTGCACAATTTTGCGAGCTCAATAAGGTCATTGGCAAAGCTGAAAAAATTATATAATAAGAAAAAATATATCAGTAGAGAATAAATTTTTTCGAAAACAAGTGCCAACATTGCATGATTAGGTCGTTCATATATCATAACCTTACACATAAGGCCGACTTTGTTTGCTTAAACACTATGCTCCAGCACCTGCGCAATTGACGTCTGGTAATTTTTAAATACGCAGTAGACAGTAGGCAAAACGTTATCTTTGTGTGTTGTCCTTACCTTTTTTTTATGTGAGAAGGTGGCAAGCGAGCTAGCGTTTTGCCTGATGGTAAGTGACAGCCGCCACCCATGGGCATTTGCATTACCTTATAATAAAATATTTTCCGGCCGGGTAATTACCACGACCTCACAGAAGACCGGCGTAAAGTAGAAGTGTTACACTTCTGCGTTTCGTCTGATGAGTGATGTAGCTGGGGCTTACTTTATTTAAAGGAGGCAACGCATTTGCAACCCCCGTAGTGTTTCAAATGTCCATGGGCGGTTATTACTTAACATCAAGTGAACCGCCAGCTCGTTTGCCTCTTTTTCACATTAAAAAAAAATCACATGAGAAAAAAACGCTACACCCACTTTAAGCTGGTCTACTGTGTAACCTATTCGTGCTCGTGAAAAAGCCTACTCGTGCAACAGCGAAGACTGTAGCGTGGCCCTAGCACCGCTCAATGATTGATTTTGAGGGTTGATTTTGTCATGTACACATTTACAATTACTGCACAAGCACTTTACAATTTTACAACCTTAAAGGGTATGGCGTTATCCTCGCTCTTGGAGGCCGTTCCGTTGGTTGCACCAGCCGCGGTCCCGTTCTCCAACTTGATGTCCTTAACGTCCTGCGCCACCTGTTCCACGGCGTCCGATTTTTCCGACATAATGAAACTGTAAAATTTTATTACGATAACTAAAGTCTAAATATGACAGACTTCTGGCAAAAAAACGGCGTGACCTTGGAAATCCTAACAAAACTAATTGAAAATTAAAAAAAAGGAAAAAAATTGGGTTGTGAACGTAAAATAATTTATTTTACATTTCCGCGTATTTTACTTATTTACATTGATGGGTCTGACACAAATTTCTTGTAACCAACTAGACGGTATTGAAAACGAAATAAAAACATTTATATATTAATTAGATTTAACTAGTACATAGGCTTTTATCATTTTTTATGTTTCGTCACCAGGGTCCATTAAATAGCCATGATTAAAGTTTTCAATTCAGACGAATTCGCAGGTCAGCTACTACATAATAATTATACTATGTAATTTATTCTGCACAGTAAATTATCATCCTATACAGGTCCCACTGCACGGCAAAGGCCTCCTCTGTACATAGGGTATTAGAGAATAGCCCACCAAGCGTCCCGCCCGGACACTCAGTTATTACGGCTCTCATAATGTTGTAAAATATATTAAAAAAACTAACTAACGTCACGAGGTGATGTCATGTAAAATATGCTTAACATGGTTGTATCTCTGTCATAGTGTTATTCAAAACTTTAACAGCGCCTCACGTCTTAACGCTAAACTAGGCAATTACATCATCGACCTTGTGCAACCTATTCGCACACAACGTAGGTAAACATCAGCTGATATTTAAAACTAGCCTGCTTTTAAAGAGAACACAAACGCTGAAGTCAACAATATGTATACGGTAAAAAAGCGAACTTTGAAAAGCCAATTACGCTAAAATAATCGAAGTGACTATCCGATATTCCACAAAATTGTCAGTCGATAAAAACGTGGTCTAAATTATATATATATATATATATTTAAAATATGTCACTATATATATATATATATATATATATATATATAGTGACATATTTTGAATACGCGAATGTAACATGTAAATAAAAAAAATATAAAAGCCTAAATATAAGTGAAATCTCAATTCAACGAAGCATATACAAGGAATTATATATACAACGAAGCATATAATAGGAATTTTGTCTTGGGGCTCTGCTGGTTTTAAAAGCATGGGTAATGAATACTGGTCCCATCTTTAGCCCGGTAGTGTCATATATCATTATATTATGACCTTCACGCGTATGTCAGATCATTTAAATCTAGATTTAATATGCGCCTGGGCACCTACAGGCGTTGCAGAGGTGTTGGAATCATTTACGCCTTCAATCCATTTATTTTAAGATTTATTCGTTTTCTACATTTAGATATGCATAGACTTAAATTAGATTTCAAGGTTAGGATGGTTATATCCGAGTTTGATGATATATTCTCATTTAATTTAAATGTTCCATTCGTTTTTATAAATGACGTCATGCTGTTTTATACATATTTGTCTTCGGTCTTTCATATACGGTGGGTATATGTCCTTCTTTGTCGGAGTCAAATTGGACATCGATTTGTTATTGTTTTGTTATAAAAAGGTAGTAAAAATAATAAAGTTACAGTGCCATTATTTAAAGTTCATGTGCCCATTGAGGTCAGAAGCAACGAACATCGTTTTGAGCATTTGAAAAAAGAGGTTGACCACCTTCGAATTGGAAGACCAATACGTTGACAAATATCTGTTATGTTTATTATTACTAGTGGTTGCCTAGTCACCTAGTGGACGAAATTTGACCATAATTATACATGGTATTATGTGTAATGTTTTTTTTCATTTCTTGATCCAGCACCCCTCTATATAAAACTATAAGTGTGGGAAATTTCATTCTCCTCAGTCTGCGCAATTTTACTAAAAAGGGGTATAAAGCTTTTGATTCACGTATTAATATATGAATAAAATATTTAGCTTTGATTTTGAAATGAAGTTGTCAATAACGGTATTAGTATTAAAATTGTCTCGTTACTTTTCTACTGTATAAAAGGAAACAAGAGTTTTTGTTACAACCATTGATTAACTACGATGTTAACAAAACAAAAAATTCAGTCAATATTACTACTGATCCCATATTTTAAACAAAAGATAGGCTCTTGTATAATTAAAATCAAAGCTTTATTAGTTTCAAGTAAAACAAATTATAAATTATTAAAGATATGTTTTGTATCTTAAATTAATAATATTCCTTCCAAATGATATGTTTAACTGTAAAGTATAAATATATGTTTAACTGGGCAAGAAAATAAAATGTTTGGCCAATATTGAAAAAGTTTTTGCTCTCGACAACAAATAATATAACCGAGTCCGTAAAATATTATTGCCTAAACGATAATGTTATAGTTTTCAGCTAAGTTACTAATTATCTATATGTTAATGTAAAAACGGTACGTAGCACAAGGTTCTTTTGTATTTCTTCAACGTAGAAATATGAAGTCATCGTGTAAGCAAAATCATTTGTTGGTTCTTTTATCAGAAGACTACTATGGTAGCGTTGTCTTCTGAATATATTGTCTATTATATGAATGGTAGGCTTAATCAAGGAAGTACCAAAGCCTCTAAAACTTCTGAATGCAGCAATATTTCTACTTTTGATTCATTTGGTGAACGAGGTGACCGGATGCTTTCTTAAAGGTTGAAAACGCATCTGCAGCCCCTCTACTGTTGGTGGCAACGCGCTTGCACGATGGCCAGTATTAAAAAAGATTTTCTCAGTGGCCCGTGATTTTTTAGTGGAAGGAGCGACTAAAACACAAAAAGTTCGAAGTGACGGCCATTTCATTCTCGATAAATCAGACGATTGTGTGTCTCTGTTCTTTGCTTATGCCCAACTCTAACGAGTTTATGTAAATAACATACATTATAAAATATTTAACCATTTAGCTAAACTTAAGTAGTTTATTCACACTACGCAATGCTTTATTACGATGAAACAATTACCTTTTAAACGTTTTTCTATATATTACACACCTTATAGCCAACTTTGAAGGCCTTGCCGTAAAAAAATTCATACGCCTATATACATATATATACAGCGTGTCGTTACCATCGCGACAATAGTTGAACACACGTCTAACGCTACTTAACAAAATCCATAATAAAAAAAAAAATATTTTTCAAACAAACTAATTAAGTAAAAAAGAAACAAAATTTGTAACATCCTATACAACTCGCGCCACAGCGTCGCATTACAAGCCTCTCCTAACAGTATGTTTTGTCTCTTTTAAATTCATTCAACCCATTCATATGCTTTGTGACCTTTACAAATGAACTTTACGTTACGCTTTTATAAGTAAGGGTGTTCTAAAATTCTTTGTTTTGGAAAATTTAATAATTCTGTAAATATTGATGTTTAAAGAATTTAAATGTTTAATACAACTTTAAAAAGTTATCCCCTATATGTGTGTTGATTTATTGTCGCGATGGTAACGACACGCTGTATATATATATAATTTTAAACACACATCAAAATAGCTGAAGAATTACGAAAAGTACATAATTCTTAAAGTTGTTACGAATTCTTTAGAAATGCTTAGGGTTAGGGTTCACAACAGCAATTCTATTACTGAATAACAAAAGCTCTTATCAGTTAAACTTAACAAAAATTTTTTGAATTTGCATTATGATGTATGTGATATGTCCCTTATTAACACAATGCCCATCATAAGCTTCACAATGAAGTCGATTCAATTCATTCCGTGATCTATTGAATTGTATTTATTATATAATTTGTTGGATACTAGCAAAAAACGTTTTGCCCTTTCCTTTCAATTTTATAGTTAAACTGAAGACAATTCATGAATTGAATAGCAATGTTTAATCATGCGAATTAAAAGTCGCATTGCGTAGACCCGATTGTGATTGCCAAGGTTAAGAATCATAAAGGATACTGCTATTGGTAATGCGTGACGGTATCAATTTAATCAACTTTTCGATTATTATTTAGTTTATTACTTATTTTTAGTAATGTTATCGTGGCTTGCAATACTCATATACTAATATATTATCAATTACCAATATAGTTTTAAAATGTTAATAAATATAGGTAAATTATTTTTCGATTACTGAAAATTTTAAATGATAAAATGAGAAGAATTAGTGACTATGCATATACTTCATATACAATGTACAATAAATTTATAATTAATTGTTTAATATTTAAAGTAACTTATATATTTGAATGAGTTATAGAGTAGGTAAATATATCGATATTATGTAGCTTTTCAGTAGTAACTTTTTTTATTTGTGCCGAATGAATTTTACATTATAATACTAATATTATACATTTTACCTGTGTAATATATAGATTGAATATCCTATATCAAAAACATTTAGAATGCATAACATACTCAAATTGTAAAACTTTCCTTTATTTAACGATCCCTTTTTTTTCAGGAAATATCAAGTAGTGCCATAAAGATTATAGCGATGACTGACACTCCAATGATATACTTTTTCACGTGGTGCGACCTGTAAATATTCCCTCCACACTTCCGTCCCCACATAATTTCAAATGATAATTTTAGCTTGATTAACTTGCCTTACTTTTTTAACACGTTTTATTATATTTTTGCAATAACTCGAATTTTATAGGAAGCTACCAGAAACCTATCTAGAATATTTAATGTCTCTTAACATTCCACGCTTTTTAACAATAATACCTATTATAATTTACTAACTATTATCAACAGTTGGTGTATTCTATAATATTCTTATTTCAAAATTATTTTCTACTTTTTAGTTCGAATTTATAAATTATTATTTGTTTTAATATTTTATATGTAACACAGCCCGACTTCTAATTTTAATTATGATTCTATTTTATCAACACATGCATATGTTATAATAGTGCAATGACAGCAAATATAATTTTGTGACAGAACTAATAACTAAGGGATATTTAATGTACTTTTTAATCGACATAGCCGATAAATATGACGCAGACGGCTAATTAGTACCACATAACGTTAATACATCACACTAGAGCTTCATACCTCAACTAATGGATAATTGATGAGGTAGGAAATCAGTTAAAACTAATGTTATCGTTATTTTTGAACATATGTTCATTTATTTATTTGACAATGTAGGCTCAGTAGATTCGTTTCAATTATTCTTTCAAGTCAAGCTTGGTTCATACGAATACCCTGATACTTTTATACATAGGTCACAAAGAAGTTACGGATTAAACTTTTTGATTTAATCTTTTACAGAGATTATGACATTTAATTTTGTTTACAATATAATAATTAAAATACTTAAGAGCATCCATAACAGAAATGAAAACCAGTGCAATTGAATACAAGAAATCATCAAAAAAAATGTACATATGAAAATATAAACATTACAAAATGAAAATTTACTTTCACTACAATCATGGATTTAGTCAACGATTAGTCTTTAAAACAAATATTTAAAAAATTCTCTGCACCATATATTGTTATTATCTATTAATTTTTATTCTAATCTTTTATTCTAAAACAAAATGTTGATAATTTAACTGATGAGATAAATATTGCAAAGATAGTGCATAGTAGATAGAGTGCGTAGATAAATAGTGCATAGTAGATTATATATTTATTCCTGTAATCTAAACATTTTAAGAGCACGTAGAATCTCAAAGCAAATATGGAACAATGGCAGCTCGTCATGTTGAGCCATAAATATAGACAATTAAAGATAAATAAGTAATTATATATGTCATTTTATTTACATGGCTAAGTAAGTCCTTACTCCTGTCCATTCTCGATTATGTAGATGCAAGCTATCTTGATTTAATCGAAGAACAACTAAATAAACTTGAGCGTATTCAAAATTTAGCTATTAGGTTCATATTTGGTTTACGCAAAATGATCACGTTTCCGAATTTCGTTCAGTGCTCAAGTGGTTACCCATTCGTTTTCGCCGGAGTCTACACACTGTCTCTCTTCTGTACTGTGTATTATTTAACCCTAGGACTCCAAGCTATTTAAAGGAACACTAAGTTTCTTGGCCATAACCATCCAGAACGAGTTCTGCGATCAGCTGAAGATCTAATTCTAGCACCACATGCGTACAAAACTAAATATTATAAGAACTCCTTTACAGTTAAGGCCATCTGCTTGTGGAATGAACTTCCTCAGCAAATTCGTCGTTCGAAGACGCTAGACAAGTTTAAAATTGACGTAAAACAACATTATCTATCGCTTTGTAATCCATAGTTTTAATGGCAATATTCAGATTTAATTCTTCTCTCGTGTATTTATTTAAATATATTATATATTTATTTATGTTTATGTATGTTTATTATAATTTTGTTTATTTTATTATATTTAGGTCTATTTTGGTATTAAGTAAGTTTATTGAGCACACCACCTCCCACTATTCATTAGTTTATTTTTCCTCGTCCTAAGGTTGTCTGGAAGAGATCGCTTTTTAGCGATAAGACCGCCTTATTGTACCTAGCTTTTAAGACTTATTTCATACTAATTGTATCAAATTCTTAGTGGTGTACAATAAAGTATATAATAATAATAATAAGTGGAGGTTACCATGCCTTAATTTTTTTCTACCTGTGCCATATAATACAGTTTTTCATTTAGACTCTAAGATAAATGCACAAAGAAAAAAATGCTGTGTAGTGTGTTAAAGACTATTCCGCGTTGTAGGCAGATATTTCTGTTCAGGCGTGCTTCCCTAATTTTGCCGTGCTATTTGTGTACGATAAAATTAGTATAACGCGTAGGTACAGTACATGTAAAAATGTATAGACGAATTAATCAGACTTCTCTGCAAGAAAATAACAAAAAAAATCTCCATAAAAGTTTTAAGCCTAAAAAAGAAAATACTAAATAACAAAAAAAGAAAGAAACTTTTTAAATACATATGTGTTACGTAATTAAAATAAACTGTTGATAACTTAATTCTCTGTTTCTGACGTGTCAATTGAAAATCCAGGTTGTATTTTCGGCAGTGAAACTTTCCTCTATGATAATATCATTAGCTGTATTATTTGTCACGATAATTTTACAACTTAAAACTCTTTAAACCTGCAGTTGGAGGGAAATCAAAGAGTGAAAATAGCGTGCGAAAAGTTTACAGTACTAACGACCTTGCCGGTTTCTACAATGTGTAGTGCAACTAATTTGCATTTATATTTTCGCTTCGTCACCAGAGCTTGTGTATACCTTAATATATGCACTTATACCTTAATATATACGTGTTGAAAAGTGATATTTCAGATAACTGGTCTTAAACTGCTGTTAAGTTGATAAAAAAATATCTCAAAATAAGGCTAATATCATTTCAAACTAAATTTTAATACTGTAATCAACACTTTCAAATGAAATGGACGTATCGGAAGGTTAATGATTGTTATTATTTATTTAAAAATATAATTACATAGAAATAAAAAACGTAAATACGCTTAAATGCACTCTTTGGAGGTAGCAGCGTTTTCTCATTTAAAAACAAAAATTTTCTGGAAAAATAAAATGCAGAACAGTCTTTACGAACTGCCGGTAGAAGTGAAAACTATGTAAGTTAACAATAATTGATATATGAATTCGTACGGTGACGACGACGCGAGTTCCATGATTTTTGTCCACGCAAAAAGTAGTCAACGCTCTTAATAAGTTTTGCACTTTAAAAACAAGTATTGCTCTATAATCTTAGTTATTGTTTGTTCTTTGATAAAAACTTCGTAATGTTTTAGTCGACATACGTACATGCAGTTACGCGTCATTGATATTTAATCTTATCGAAAAATTGCATGAATTCCTTATCATTAATACCCATGGCCTTTTGATAAAACCTGTTTATCATAAGGAAATTGATTTTTATCAAATTATGTATTTAAAATGTTCTGTTTATTAGCTTCTAAACAATCCAAAAAATACCGGTTCGAAATGTTTATTATATGTATAATATTTTTTTTTTTCAATTTTCGAATTATTTTAAGTGATGACAACATATACGTTTTTTAAATTATGATTTTTCTCGATGTGATCGTGCGTATGTAAAACAGGATTAACACTCTGGATAATCTTATTTCAACTAAATCGCTACTTCGTAGTTGGAACGTGTAATGGAGTAGGCCTAGCGTTCCTTATGGAAACCCAAATTATGTCTGGTTTTATTTATTTCACTGGCCTTAAGCAAATATTTATTGGTTAATATTCAACTCTTTTTTTCGAATTCCCAAATTTTAATAACAGTACATCTCATTTTTTCTTATCAAAGGTATGAAACGCGAAGCAACAAAAATATGATATTACGTACAATCAACGTAACGTAACGTTACGTATAACAATACCGTTACATTAATAAATAAACGAAAATAATGATTATTTTTCACAAAAAAAAAACAATAAAATTCTATATATCTTGATAATATAGAATCGTTTTTGACTCTATAATCATTGATATCATGTATAAAATGTAAATTTATGTTTTCTATCATCAAAGTTTTAATTACTTACGTGAATGATCCAAGAAGCTTAAAAATTCATATATAATAGGGTGCTAGAAGCGACGAGCCTTGCTACGCACACGTCCGGTTTCCGCACTACACCTATTGCTACAAACAACACCGCTCTATGTTGTCTGTCTGCCCACAAACCGCGGCAGATTGAGCGCCGCGCAGTACAGCGCATGCGCATTTACGCTTCGTCCCGCGCCATGTTTATTTTTCCCATCTCTTTGCCTCTTTCTAAACAGATCCCATGAATGCTTTCGCTGCTCAGCAATTGCCCTAGTTTTATATTTTATGACGCTACATCACGGCGCCATTCCAAGCTTACTTGTTCTATTTTTGTCATCGAAGAGCAAACAGGAATTTTATCAGCGCCTATCATTCGTTAATTCCAAATAAAAGCCAATTTCTAATAAGAATATTAAGTAATATTCGGTCTCATAAACGAACAGAATTATTGTTTTCATGACGTAGAAGTAAAGTAAAAGCCTATAAATGTACCAATGCTGGACAAGGGGCCTTCGCTGTTCAGAAGGAAGGTATCAAGGGCGAAGTCCACCATGCGGCCCCACTACGGCTGGCGGACTTCATAAAACATGTATTTCCAAATATTTGCTTTTTTTGCTATTATTTCGAAAATATGCAGGTTTCCTCATCTTCGAGCACTTAATAAGTCAGCACAAAAAATATCCATTGGTGCTGGAACCGGGGATCGAACTCGAGTATAATGAGTGAAAAATGAGCACTAGGACAATGAGCTATCACGAATCAAAAATATATACGTTATGTATGATATGTATATATCATCTTGTATCTTGTATTAACGCTTTTAGTCCCGAGACTATTAAAGCTTCATCGAACGCAGAACCGGTGGGCTAGCCAGTACCCACGGGTTTGAGGCCCTCTACAGTGGGTAGGGCCGCGCATGTGCTCATGCGTGCGTTAGCTAATGTATATCATAATAATCTGGATGGGTCTGTTAATCATATAAAATAATTAGGTATTCTTATTACACATTTTTTTATTATTTTATTCAGCTATTCTAATTTAAATTCTATCTTACTTATTTTTTATCAACCATAAATAAATCCTTATTTTGCGATCAATTTTTTTTTAATTTTACTAATAATAAAGTTTATACCTTACTGCCTAACCAAACGGTTCATTGATAGAGCTGAACATTATAACAACCTTCTAGTGGTAAGCGCAGCAAATTACCAACCCGAAATCAACGAGAACGTTAATAAGCGTCGTTCACCCAACGTACTCATCGACCCGGTCGAGGAAGGGGACCTAATTACGTCGGACCCACCATCGGGTCCCGCCAGATAACACTACACACAGAGTTAGTGCAACAGCATATACCACAGTTTGTTCTCGCCTTCGAGCACGGCGAAACCAACACAACGCGTACACTAAGTACACCCACGTTCAAGGGCGGTTCTCACCGCCCCCAGCCACCGACTAACCAAGCACAGACAACGGCTATCGGGGTGACGGTCCACATCGAACCTCGATAGACCGTAGGCGACACTCCTTAGCTAACGCATACGAAATTATCCATACCATCTCCATGTCCACCATTCCACAACAGCGCGATTTTCAAGGCATTTCCTGCCTCGCGCAACCGCTCTGTGGAACCTTCAAGAAGAGAGAATAATCTTTCCTAAAAGGCTGGCAACGCATTTGTAAGCCTTTGGTGATGCAGATGTCCATGGGTGGTGGTGATCACTTTACATCAGGTGAGCCTCCTGCTCGTTTGCCGCTTTTTGCCCATAAAAAAACCTTCTTCGGCAAGACATACTTGTTGCAGTCCTCCCATACCATTGATCACTTCGGACGTAAGGTTCTACAGTCGGCAAATGTTGAAGTGCATTTGGCGAACGATTAAGCACTACGTAACGTGGTTCATGAGAATATTGGCTATCACATTTCCAATTTTTTCACACCCTTTTCTACAGATTCTAATTCCACAGCATTATAACCTAAGAGCTCGTAGAATCTTTTCATGTCGACGCGCATCGTCGTCCTGAATAGCAATCAGTAGTTCCTCCCGTTGACAGGCTTGCTCCTTCTGGTACCGCTCTTGTTCCTCTTGAAAAGCAGGCTGTTTCATCCAGCGGCGAGCTTGTTTCTCCTGGCGTCGTGCTTGTTCTTCTTGAAAAGCGCATAAAAGTGCCATAACTACATCTATTCGAACAGTTGAAATTATATTTGAAGCCTTGGCTTGCGTTGACCCATCAGCCGCTGCTTCTTCCTGCCGATAATGTGTAACCGCAGCATGATCCCTTCTTGTTGCTCCCTCGGTATGACCTGCATTTTCCAATCCCACATCTGTCAGTAGTTGTTGAACTAGGGGTTCCGGATTGGAGTGAAACCCCGTTCGCTTTAATATTCACTTTATTACTTCCACAAACATGCGCGGCGCCCCCTCAATACCGCTCAAATCCTCAATTAGTAGGAATTCCAAGGTGCGATGACTCTCTGGCCCTCTCAATACCGCTCAAATCCTCAATGACTACTAAAGGTGTGATGACTCTCTCGTTACCGCACCATCCTTCAGTTACGCAACTTAACGCACAACGCGCTCTCGTTGTCGCACCAATCTTCACGTACTACGCCTTCTACACTTGCGACCGTCCACAGGTTGCCTTTACACTCCTTCTTCGAAAGCCTCCGCTGCAGTGGCGGACTAAGGCCTTCAGAGGCCCGGGGCGGTAAAGCTGAATGAGGCCCCTAGTTTAAGGAATTGATCTAATAAACAATTTTAACTTTTTATTCACTTCACATTTGTAAGTGAAATTTAAATTTGACTAGAGTACATATGCATAGAATACAGAGATGGATGAGGAAAATAAAATAAGAATCGATCGGCATAAAAAAACTAAATAGTAAAAATAAAGTAATCGGTAGTTTTTATTTCCAGGAAGTTTCTGGAACTAAAACAATATAGACAGATTAGCAGCAGTGCCTAAGATTGCCTTAGACGCGCCCTCAAATCAAAATATACAGCCCAAATGAAAAGTTAAGATTTTCCACCAAAGAAACAAAAATTTCGCTTGGAATTAATATACTTCATTTTAAATGAAACTACTTTACGGATTTTATCGCTTTTTTAATTTTGATTTAAATTCCCGACGTTTCGAACCCTTTCCAGCGTTCATGGTCACGGGACAGACTAAGTTGTTATACGTCTTGATGTCATAGTTAACCCCGGCTACCGTCAATTATTTTGTTTATTTTTATTCCGATCCACGCAGAAGGAGCTTATGGTATCTTGAGGTCTGGCATTGTTGGTGTGCTTGGATTTAATTTTATAAATTATGGGATTCCAAGGAGATGATAAACTCCAACCATCTTCTCTATTGAAATTAGGACGTTTCTTTATTTCAATAGCCTCACGGATCATCCTTGGAAGGAATCGGTGTTCTTTTGCGAGGATTTTCGGTTGATCAAATCTAATATAGTGGTTGGGGCAGTCTAAAATATGATCACAAACTGCAGACTCCTTCAACCGTCGGTGCTTCACGTCAGCCATGTGGTCTTTAATTCTGGTTTTAATTGATCGTTTTATTTGTCCTATATAAGAGAGCCCACAATCGCAGTCAAGCTTGTACACTCCTGGATCTTGTAGAGGGATATTACACTTGACAGAAGGTAAAAATTGACTTATCTTCTTCGATGGCTTGAAATATGTTTTAATTGAAGCACGCTTCAAGATATAGCCAATCTTGTCAGTGACTCCTCTGACATATGGCAATACAGCAGGCACTCGCTCAACTGTGGCTGGTTTCACTCGGTCACTGTGACGCAGGCGCGGAATTTGGAGCTTGTTGTCACGCAGCACTTGCTTGACATTGTGTAGCTCAGCGGCCAGGTGTTCCTTGTCACATAATATAACTAAATGAACTGCTACTATAACAGGATAGTTCTTTTTTCTTTTTTTAAAAAACATTTCCCTTACGTTAGGATAACATTATCCTGTGTTGTAAGGACATTTTACAAACATAAATTTCACGTGGACAAACACCCAGATGCGAAACAACGATCTGTGGGTCACACAAAAAGTTGTCCCGTGTGGGGATCGAACCCACTACCCCCGACGCCGAAACCAATACCTCGACAACTGAGCCACGGAATCATCAAATTTCATATGTTTAAGAACATCATCACGATAAATGTATCTCTAAGTGTGTAAAATCGTTGTATGCTTCACAGGATGTACATTAGGTGACGAACGTAGCAAAGAACGTAGATAAGCCGTCATAGGCCGCTTAGCTTAGTTGATAGTGTCTGGGCGCGAAACCAGAAGACGCAAGTTCTAATCCCGCCGTGCCGAAAGTTTTAGTTTATTTATCTCCAAAAATGTACAGTTTCATTTTGAGTGAAGAGATTAGCACTAAAAATAATAATTAATCCTAAAATCCTAATGGCATCTTCTACCAGTCAAGCTTTCCCATAGTGGTAACAAGTCGACACTTGGTAACCGGTGAATAAAAAAGAATACTTAAAAATTAATGTTTATACGCAAACAACAACATAATTACGTATTATTGTATGTATTAACTATCAACAAAACATATAATTAGATATTACTATCTAATTACTAAACTGTTGCGACTTTCTGGTTTCATTACGGAAAAGTTTTTAATCTACGAACGTTAGTTCTTGTTTAAAAACTACTAAATTGCAAAATATACATATATCAACACATATGTAGCTGAATGTATAAGTCTTAATATAATTATATGTACGTATATACAAATAATAAAAACTGAAAAAGGATAAGGCAAAATATAGTAAATTAAGTAAATGATTTAATACATATTCTGGTATTAATTTCTTAAGAGTATAGTTATTTTAACGAGAAACCTGAGTTCGATTCCTGGTGCCGGCACCAATGAAATTGTTAATTTTAAATGCTGTGTTATCACGTCCTCAGCAGCGAAAAAATAATAATTTGAAGATTTCTGAAGTCCGCCAATCCGCAGTGGGGCCGCGTGAAGGAATATGCCCTGATCACCTCTGTATAGAGAAGGCTTTTGCCCAGCAGTGGGACATGTATAGGCTGTTACTTTACTTTTTACTTTTGTCATTTTTATCCACCGGTTGACCACGATTCTTACGATCATCGTTCCTAGGAGGCATTTCAATACTACGTTTTCCGGGTGTGAGGTCGCCGCTCGAAAACATTTCTTCGCCATTGCTCATCCAATAAATCCGAAGAGTTATGTCGGTGAGTCAGGATCTTCGGCGAATTTCCTCGTTTCGCATACTATGAAGAAACTGCAATAATACCTACTTTGTATGGCTATGACCTTTAAATGCCCAGCTGCCTCCCCATTACACAGGTCGATATAGAAACATTTTATTTTAATTCATAAATTGTGATTACACGTATGAAAAAAATATGCATATGCCTTTATAACTTACTTTTTGTCTGTTTTACATCTATTTATGAAGATTTTTGTTGGCTGTATGTACATCGAAGGTGGAAGCCCTTTAAAGAAAAAATTAAGTATGAATTTTAGGTTCGCGATAAAAACTTAAATTTGTTGTCTAATATATTGATTGATTCCTCCCGGCCGATTTCGGACACGGCGACTGCATTCAACTCCGATTTTGTCTTCGGTGTGCTCGCGTGTGGCTTATAAAGGCAATTTTTTTGCGCAAAAATGCTCGCACACTGCGGGCAAGTTAGCACACCGTTTACATAATTATAACTAATGGCCGCTGGTGGTCGAGCCTTTAGTTCATCTCGCTTGGCGTCTAGCTCACAGAGCCGCGTGTCCACAAAGTTTTAGACGCTAGTTTTAACTAGCTCCCTCCACTCAGTCCGTCCGGCTGCCAGCTGCTCCCATAACAGCGGGTCGATGCTGCATCTTTGTACCTTAGGATTTGATCGCCAGGCTTACGCTTGCCTTCCTCCAGTTCCGAATAAAAGATGCACTTAGCAACTCTTTGCTCCGCCATACGCGACACGTGTCCGCACCACCATCAAGCCTCAATGCAAACTACATTGGCTCTTCGCAGCACTTCGGTGTTCCGTACACATTCACACCATCGAATGTCAAGTATTTTACGCAGACACGTGAGGTGTATGGATGTGACATGTTTCGGCAGAATAAAGTAAATTGGGCAGCACAACAGCCATGTAGACGGAGATCTTAGTCGCCAGCTTTAGGTCATGGGAGCTGAAGACCTTCGCATCCAACTTGCCGAACGATGCAGCAGCAGTGCCGCTCCTGCTGTTGGTTTCCGCGTCTAGATCACATTTAGAAGATATTGTGCTCCCCAGATAACGGAACTTGTCGAACTGATTCAGATTGATCAGAGAAAATGTAATACAAATTTGTGGATGCTAGCGCTGGAAGAAATGCACACAGTACAAACTCAGAGAAATTTAAAATGGTTTATTTGGAAATGGGAATAATTATACGGCAGTTATGCGAAATAGGTACCCTTGTAGTAGAACAGGCGTTGTGAAAATATATTGATGCTGCTGCGACCATGTTGCGAAAAATATATTGATGTTGCTGTTGCATGCAAAAGTTATGAAAAAATGTTGAACCTTACACACATTTAAAAAAAATCCCAAGTTATCTGAAAATAATGTAAACGGGTGTTTTCACAAAGAGAAAACAACTGCGCGCCGAGTTCACGCAATGACAGGAATATAATGAGAAGCATCTCATGGGCTGCATATTCTGCATGCTTAATCGGCTTATTCAATTGTTTCATTCACCATTATCAAATAAATTGATACATAAAAATATGTAAAAATATTTTAATTTGTTTAATGTATTTTAATTTTTTTCCATTCTTAGTCAATTGTTTTTCACAGTTATTGAATAAAAGTTATCTAGATGTGTATCAAAAATTTGTTTAATAATAATTTACCAATTCATTACAATCCAGAAGCTTCCAATCTCCCTTTTTTTCTACAATAGCAAACTTTGACCAATAAAAACATTTATTCAAAATAATAAATTTAGATTTCAGTTACATGTTACTCAGAACTTCAAAGCCTATAATCCTGTTCACCAGTATTTCTATCTTTTGTTATAGGATCATTTTGTAAATGACAAAAAAAACATCTTGAAAACAAAAAAATATAAATGTAATAATATAAATTATTAACCAAATAATGCTGTGCAAAAATTATTACACAAATAAAATATTTTTACTTCATAAATATCACAAATAAATTATAATAAAATTTATTACAGTAAATAAAAAGATTATTTAAAACAGCAATAAATTATTCTCTAAATACTTGCAGGTATTTTGAACTATGTTAATGTTAGTAAATCTCCTAGCTTTGGTAGCACAACATCTGGTAACGGCTCTATTTTTTCTTTACGTATCTTTTCCAAGACTTTAGCAGAAGTCACACCGGTCAATACAAGAAGCGTTTGAAAGCCACAACGGACACCAAATTCAATATCTGTGTTGCATCTGTAAATGAGTAAACCATTTTGAAATAACAACTAGAATTTTAAACTTACCGAATTGTATTTTTACCAATAAACATCTTAGGTGGGATTCATTTAGTGACATGTTGGATATAACTAATGTCATTTAATAGCCTTAATTTATCTTTACAAATGTAAAGCATTCAATTGCATTTCATTTCAATTGAAAAACTTTTATTTAGTCTTTAATATAAAATTAAATTACATGACCTGCAAAATCTCATTAATGTAAAATTGCTTAACAAAAATTATTTAACATTACTTTTACACAATTTTAATATAAAAGTGTTGCCAGTTTCATGTCAAACAAAACCATTATGGTAATATAAAATTAAAAGGTTTTATATTATATGCATTAGTAAAATTCATTGACAATAGACATTGATATTAAATTGTTCACCTGTCACCAATCATTAATGTCCTTGCAGGGTCCAGGCCACTGGATTGAAGAAACCTTCTAATATATTCATTAGGTTTTCCAAGCACTAATGCCTTTCTTTCTGAACATGTTTCTACTGCCCGTACTAATGTTCCAGTCCCAGGGACTATAATTGAACTAGATTTGGGAAACCGCTCATCTGTATTTGTAGCAATGAACATGCAATCTTCAGATGCCAAATAGGAAGCAGCTTTCATAAGCTTTGGATAGCTGATATGCTCATCAAAACCCACAACCACAGCTCCAACCTCTGGGTCCATATCTGATGGTTTCATTGATTTAAAATCAGGTTTAACATGGTCCGGCTATAACAAGAAATATTATACTTAGTAGTATGATTTTTGGTACATATTGATCACATACGGTATAAAAAATTATAGAAGAAAAAAATTCAATTTGGTACAATTTCGATATTCCAAGACTTACTCCAATCCCAATGTGCTGTATGCCCACAGCTTTCAATTCATCCCCAATGCCATTTGATCCTATCAGGTAAACTTTTTTCTTAAAACCAATACTTTGAAGATAGTGTGCCACTAAATATGAAGTAGAAAGTATTTCATCCTGCAACAAATGTTTAGTTCTGTAAAATTTTTGAACTATAAAGTTCATGGTCTAAATATTACCTTCTATTAGCAGTCTAAAATGTACCGGATGGGCAATAAAGCCTAGTTGTTGAGCTTTAAGCGCAAAGTCACTTCGAATCTTTGTAGAGTTATTAGTTACAAAGAAAATTCGCTTTCCTATCTTACGAAAATAGTTCATTGTATCCGCGGATCCAGGAATAGCATTGTTGTCAATCCACAGAACACCTGAAAAAATTCAATTTAATTTTATTTCGGTTAAAACAAAGAATACCACTTTTATTAATGACCTTGAATTTTCTTTACCATCACAGTCACTAAGGACAGTGTCAAAAGAATCAAGAAACTCTTGAATTTGACCTTTCCCAGCATCTTTTAGATTAAATACTGCTGACTTGAACATGTTAGAGTAAGAATATGTGTTTTGAAGTGACACTGATGTAACGTTTAAATCAAATTGCAATCTATTAATATCACTTAGTACACGTTTTCCTATTATCCTTGCAAACAATCGTGTCATAACTTCTACAATTTTTTTCTATGAGAATGACTTTTATTTCATGAATACTAATTATTAATATCTTATAACCTATTCCTAATTCCTAATATGTAACTGATTTCAATATCGTCATACATCATGTTGTTATCTCAACTGTCAAATGTCAATAATAAATTACTTATTATTGAATTAGTTATAAATTATTCGTTTATTATAATTAAATATTTATTATAAATAATTGAATTTTTAACTTTGATTGCGAGCATTTCATGATTTTTGTAGACTTATTAACGGGCAAAAGGAATATCCTGTTTTCAGAGAATTGACGTTAAAAAACTTTAAAAATGCTACGAATGCTAGACTGATTCGTAAGTCTATTAAAAACTTTTTTTGTCGAACCTTTAAAAAATCCTCTGAAGTTCCCGAACAGTCAGTAACGCAGCTTTTATATTTTTGAAGAATCATGGTCTTTTTTTTCGCAAATGATGTAATTTTCATACACAAATTTTTTTCGTATCTCATGATTAATTCGCAATGGTTTTGATTTAATCATGTGACATGTAAAATAATGTTAATGAATAGGGTGTATGGAGAAATCCCAAGCTTATTAAGATAATGGTTTCAGGTTCCAACAGGCAACAGGTTCCAATGTCACAAACTGTCAAACCAGAAACAAAAACTTGCAATAGAGAGATGCAAAGTGAAGAAATAATATTTAATTATATCGATGGTAAGAAATGTATGGCTATAATGGTTAGTCTCAAAAACCTTTGTCCAAAAAAAAGCAATGTCAAGATTGACAAGTAAAAGTGAAGTACTAATAATTAAAAAAAAATTGACAATGACATTGACAACTATGGACTTACGGACTCTGTCTGTGAGTCTGTGCGTGTACGACTGCAACTGTACGTGTATCGGATTCGAATTTGAAAAATATCTTTTTAATACGATATCTTTTTTGAGACTATCGGAAAATGGCGGTATAACTATTGCTGAATTGTATGTATGGAGAAATCCGAAGACGTTAAACTATAATACTTAGAAAACAAACTCATAATTCTTATCGCGATACGATTACGCGATATTGCGATGAATGGGTACAAAGACTGGGACTGACTATGTACTTTAAATCACTGACCCTACATTTTAGTCAGAGTACTTTTATATAGGTACCTGGTTTTAGTAGGTGATTAAAAAGAGCGAGAGTCCGAGAGTGATTAACACGTTTTATGTAAATTTTCCCCATTTATTGGTTAAATAAGTTATTATATTTAATATAAACGACTATTATAGAAATAAAGACACTAATCATTTACATACAGAAAATAAGTTTTTTTGATACTTAATGTTAAGTTAATTTTACGAAGTTATCTAATTTTAAATAAATGTGTGTAAAACTAAGTTAAGGTAAGTATATAATTATTATTGTTATAATATGAGTTTTATTGAAGTAACTCATGATAAAATCGTATAAAACTTGCTATTCTCTTTTGTTTCTACTTATTTGTACTTTAATGAAAACATTTATGTAGTATATCAAAACATTTACATAGTTATATTATAATATTTATATTTATTTACGATATGTTACCATATTTATTTAAGATGTACAAGACAATGTAAAGGAATTAAGCGGACAACCAATCAAATGCTATAGAATTTATAATTTTGGCTCATATTCACTGACTATAGTTATTTTAAAGAAATACTTACAGGCTGCAAGATAAGAATGACCTTAAAATCTCGAAAGCCCTTAACAATATTTTTTTTATTTGACTCAAGCAAAGGAATTACTGGAGGAGGCTAGGCTGATTTATTCTCAGGGATTCTACAAAAACTTAAAGACTTTATTCATATTTTGTGTTGCTTTCAACTTTGACCTATACTTATAACAAAATAAAGAAGTAATTACACTACACCAATCACTATTTTTAAGTAGGCTATCTGTCTATTAAAGATTATAACGGAGTGCAAGTGGTTCACCTGCTGGTAAGTGAGGACCGACACTCATGGATGCTCACAACACCATAGATATAACTGGTGTTATGCCGACCACTGAGAGCATTGGCTTTCAGTTAACAAACACAGGATGAAATTTAAATGTATAAATACTTCTGTTACTTCACTGGTTGAGCTTGCTTTTTTGTTCAGCAAGGGCTGTTATGTTGGCTATTGTTGTGCTACCACTGTTTTACGCTTAGTTATTATTATGCATATACAAAGTTGAAACTGTTATCACTGCAAAATAGACTCACATAATGTTTATAAATGTATTGAACATACATTTATAAACATTATAGTGTTGGTCTCAATTTATTTATAAATTCAAAGTATCAAAAAAGTTTAAGGATAAAAATATTCATTAAAAAATTAAGGCTTTAAAAGACTTTAAAAGCCTATGTTTTTAAAGATTTACTGATTGGCTTTAAATTAAGTCTTCCAATTTCTTTTGATTTTTCTAAGAACTCATAGATTGAAGCACATTTTTTTTTTATTTAGCAGAGATTTTCAGAGGCAAAACAAGAATAACACAAAATGGATACGATAATAGAAACGACAAGAGGAACTGTAAAAGTAATAAGGTTCAATAAACCTCAAAAGAAAAACGCTATAGATGGGGACATGTATCTACGAGTTACAAAAATACTTAACACCGCGGCATCTGACGATGAAGTCAGCATGGTGGTCCTCACTGGCACTGGCGACTTTTATAGCAGCGGCAATGACTATTCCGTCTCGAGGCCCGAGGGGGCATGGCTACAGATTCTGGGAGACTTTATTAAAGCCTTCATAACTTTTCCCAAGTTACTAATCGCGATAGTCAACGGACCTGCCATCGGAATTGCGGCTACCACTTTAGCTCTATGCGATATGGTTTTCGCTTCGGAAAATGTAACGTTACTCTCCTTATTGGCCCGTTTTCGATAGATTTTATTTATTCACTGCATTCAATTCCACCCTAAACTCGAATCAACCTGGAAAGTTTTAGGTGCATCCTTGACTATTTTTTTACTGTGGTAGGAACACGCAACAGCTCCGCAATAGATCCGCGAGAAGCAGAAGTATTTTTGCGTTTCGCCCTATGAGTTTGTTTTTAAATGTTGAAAAAGATTCTGTAACCCCCACGTGTCGTTGATGTCGAAGGGTGGCGGATCACTTTATATCAGGTGAACCGCTTGACCGCTTGCAAACTCTTCACATAAAAAAAAATATAAAATTTAAAAATTAGTAGCAAAATGAACGAAAATTTTTTCACTGTTACGAGGATTTGAACCTGCGTACTCCGGGGTAGCTCATTGTGTAGAGCGCCGTTCTAAATTTCATCTTTAGTGCAGAGAATAGCACTATAAAAATTAATATCCTTTAGAAATAAAAAAAAAATATGTTATATTTGTGTATCAAATTTTTATGTATGCAGTTTTTTATTGAAAATTTCTAGGCCTATTTCTACACACCATTTTCGAAATTACAAATAACAGCTGAGGGCGGTTCCACGCTCACTTTTCCGAGATTAATCGGCCAAAGGAAGGTAAGGAGTATTTAAAAATAAATTTCTGTGATTTGTCAGCTGTATTTTGAATATAATTGTTACTATAACAAAATGTAAATAATATTATTAATAAAACATTACTAGGCTGCCGAAATGCTCCTTTTCAATCACAAAATGACGGCGAAAGAAGGTTTAGAAAGTGGATTCATCAATCGTGTTTACAAGCCCGAAGAATTGCAAAGCAAAGCTTGGGAAAAGATACAGGAGGTATCACGATTACCCGCGCATTCAGTGCTCGCGACTAAAAATTTGTTGCGAAGAGTGTATTATGAAGATCTTTTGAAAACAAACGAAGTTGAGTTAGAAGTATTAAAGAACATCGCGTTTAAAACTAAAAGTAATCTTTGATTGAATATATTTGTTTTTATTTTTTATCGTGTTTCATTTCAAACATTTTTTAGATTTAGACTAAGATTTCCCGATGGTTATCAAAATATCTTGCTATTGATATTCTAATTCATTTAAATTATTATTATATTTTTTTAAATTTAAAGTCAAATTTATAAATTTGGCTTTCTTATTTAAATGTAAAGTAGCGTTCCTTATTTGTATGTATTTGTAATTATAAATTCTTTCGAAAAAGGCGAGACTTACTGGATTTATAACAAAAAGTAGGAAGTATAAATCTAAGTCAAAAAGTGGCCTTGGCGACATGCATCGCAGATCCTCGAGTTTTTCCTCCATCACCGAGTTGTTTCTTCCAAACACTTCGAAACGAATTCGGTCAAGAGACCTGAGCAGTACTCGTCTATCCGCACTTAAGAAAGAGATAGAAACTGATACGCATCTTATTCCACTTAGTAAGCATTATTGAAAATTAACGTTTACAACAAATTGTGATAATGTACGTGAAATTAAGCTGTTGGTATCTTGTTTTGTTTTTAAATTTTTTTATGAGCAGTCTCATTCTTCTGCGTGTAGTTGTAGAAAAGATAGTCTGTATGTAAACTATATAAATAAACACATACGATAGGCATATTACTTGCCCTTCAGCGGGCACAAATATTTTGGAACTGCTGTTTCTGCTAGCGTGATACGGATTCTATTAATGTTTATAAGATCAGTGTATCCATACCATTACAACAGATAACATAATTAACCGTGCAAATTTTAATGATTGTAGAAGATCTTTTCAACCGATTGGAAACAGATCCGATCAAAGGGCTTACAAGTGTTAAGGCAGCAGAGCTATTGGACTATTATGGCCTCAATACATTAACACCCACGACTCATTTTCAATGGCCGAAAATGTTGTTAAAATGCTTGTTTACCGGTAATTAATCAAAAAATTAATTATTTTACTTTCATACAGACCTTCTGCTTAGGCGGACTTATTGCCATTGAGGCATTCTATACCAGTCAACCTACTAAGTAGGTAATGCAGAGATAAAGGAAAATTATAAAATCTTTGAATATTGAGTTAATTTTCAGAGATAAGAAAACGTATTGAACTAAAGGATATTTATTAATGCTCTTAACCCGCATCGAATACTATAATTAATTAGTACGTAAAGGAGTAAACTTAAAATACCGCCTAGTATATTATTCAGAACAAAGATATTTTACGTTTCACATACATTTAAATAAATAATCGCTTAACCTATTAATTAATGTCTTTGCATCTTCCTTGGTTTAATATTAATTATGAGGAGAAAACTAAGCCGTCTATAATATATTAAGAAATACCTTTTTCGCTTTCCGCAGAGCGTGTGTATATTTAAGAATCATTGTATTAATATTTTTCCCGTCATACCTTTTACTATCAGACACATAAATTATTTTCCGTTAGTTTTTATTTCTATCTGGATCAATAACCACTGTTGGGATACAATATAATATATAATATAATTCTATTGGGATCATTAAAAATAATAGAAACGTATTTATATAAACTTATAATGAGTGGTGAAATACCATTATAATAAATACCAAGTAAACATAATAGCTAATATGTTCTTCATGAATAGGTTTTTCGATATTAATTTGGCTTGGAGCATTGCTCTGCTTACTCGCCTACGCTATTGAGTCTTCAATGAAAGCACGACCAAGCACCGATAACTTGTATTTAGGATGCGTGCTTGTAGCAGTTGATTTAATTTGCGGCTTTTTCAGCTTCTTTCAAAACTTCAAAAGTTCTAAGGTATGTAAATTGAATGTATGGTTATTGTATTAAACTGTGATATGCTATAACTTCCATAACTCTTCAGTAAATTAAATGATTCAAACGCCATTTTAAAGCTCTTGTTTGCCACTATGGACGAAAAATATAGAAATATGCAGAATTAATTTAATATTTTCACAAAATTAGTTGTGATGATTCTTTTTTTATTTGAAAGCTGGTGCTTCCCATGTTGTCCCATATTAATGTTATTGGTATTGGATCTTACAATTTTAAAATGAATACAGAGCGAGATATTTGAAGTCGGTTTTGTTTTTCGTTACTAAACAAATTGACTTCTGTTATGTAAGTCGGTTAGTGGCAGCCAAATTTCACGTCTATTCAAGAGAAATTATCACTTAACAATCATGTTTATCATCTTTCTAGATACTGAAATCATTTAATAAAATGATACCCATGTCGACGAAATGCATACGGGATGGAGTTTGGAATTCAGATTTACCAGTGTCGAGCCTGGTCAAAGGGGATATAGTGCACATCAAAGCCGGTGACGTGATTCCAGCGGATATTCGAATAATAGAAAGCAAAGGTTTCAAAGTAAATGCAATAAGAATTTAATTATATATGAATAATGAAAGCCAATGAAAAATTGTAAACGATATTTATCACGTTTATTAGGTTGATAATTCGTCCTTGACTGGGGAATGCATAGCCGTTACACGTTCCAATACAGATGGCACTGCAAATATCTTGGAGTCTTCAAATGTTGCTTTTTTCTCGGCGCAGTGCGTCGAAGGGTGGGCTTTTGGTAAGGAATGATTTTTTTAATTAAATTTTTCCCTAACGAAAAGGCTCATTTAAGATGAATCTTTCCGTTGATCTTGATAAATATTTCAATTTCAGAAGTCCATACTTAGCCTTAATAAGACATTAATCAATTTTTACTTCAAAATAAATTCGCACTTCAGAAATAAACTATTTTTTTTATTGTTAGAGTATTAAGTTGTCAACCGCACTTTCTTCGAGGTGCGCTTATTTATTTGTCTATTAAATTAGACGGCAGTATCTGAAAAAGGTTTTTATATGATTTTCTCATCATCTTACCGAGTCTACACTCGGGATGAGAAGTAAGACTACCTATGGTGATGCACCAAGCTAGATACAAAGCATTCTATTTATATGAAAAATGTCAATGACACAATATCTCTCAAATATATTGACAATTTCACAGTTTTAGAAAAGAAATTTGCTTTTATGTTGTTTCCGCAATACTTATTATTTATGCACGTGAAAAAATCGTAGGATACTTATTACTTTTGGCACAAGTTGCACTTGTTTAGACTAGGCTATGCTTATCTAGAAAATCTTCTATTTTACTGAATTAGGGCCAAGTAACACCTTCCATCGTTTGCTCGACTGATGAAGTACCACGGTTCACAGGAGCAAAATGTACTTTTGCGCTTGGCAGTGAGAATACCTGGGTACCTGGTACAGCTTAAAACTCAACTGCAACTCTTAAATGTGTTGTAGATGTTTACTGGCGGCTTGGATTATAGTATAATAAGACGTAAACCACCACCTTTTTGTTTTCTAACTTTTGACATATAAAAGTTAAATTATAACGTAATGCTACGTATCAGTACCAATATCACAATATCAACAATATACAAACAAGAGTAAGCGAAAGCGAAGTAAACGTCTTTAGGAAATATTACAAATACGTATTTTATAATCTGTTGAATTAATATTCCAGGTGTTGTTCTATGCTGTGGAGATTTGACCGCGCTAGGTAGGGTTGCTGGTTTGGCAGCCCGTTTGCAGCCTGAACCATCGCCCCTCGCCCGGGAGATCCGACGCTTTATGCGCTATATGTCTATTTGGGCGTTATCCCTTGGAGTGATTATAGCAACTGCTTCAATAATTCTCGGTTACCCTTTCATCCAGACCACTATATTTGTGATAGGCATGATAGTCGCCAATATTCCTGAAGGTTCGATTTTGTTTCTTTCAGTTATGTGTCATGATCATAGTTTATTATTGTTAATTTCTAATCTTGATCCAATAATTAAATGATTCTTGATGACTTAGTTGACTTTTGCAAAATTCATAGACTAAGGTGGTGCGTTGATTACTTTTGTTAGAATTTTTTAAATATTTTTACTGATCATTAAATCATTTATAGATATTTTTAAATATCTTCCGTACGAGGTAATATTCCCTGAATATTCCCAAACGTTTTAAAAGTATAAAGTCACTGAACTATTTCTAACAGATCGAATGCACACCACGCCGTACAAAATGCCTGTCTGTGAATTATCCTTAAATTTTTGCATCCATCCGTGCCTCATCGGGGCAGTAAAATGTTGATAAAATTTATTATTTAATAAATAAAGGAAATCACCTTCTTTCTCCGGTAGGATTGCAGCCAACGATCACGGCGTCCCTGACATTGACCGCTCAACGGATGGTAAAGAAAAACTGTCTCGTAAAGAATCTTGAAGCAATTGAAGCTTTAGGAGCCGTTACGACAATATGCTCGGATAAAACCGGGACCCTCACTAAAAATAAAATGTGTGTCCGCCATATTTGGATTTGGGATCGGAAGTATTCGGTTGCAGATCCGGATTTTGAAAGTAATTATTATAAATCATGTATAAATATGTGTCAATATTTCTTCTTTCACGTGACTTCCATTGCTGCATATTCTATGAGAATAGATTTATAACATTTTTTTCTATCATACAAATAATGTATATGGCAAAACAACATTTACCGGATCAGCTAGTATAAATATACTAATAATAAGTTTGCATTATTGCAAACACTTTCATGAATTGGCTCATTATCAGTACTTTAAGAAATCTTAAACATGAATTACAAATAAATCAAACAATTTTTCTTAATTATAAGAAGTTTTTAAATTTAATAAAATTTTCTTCTTTTTACAGGTACATTACAAGTAAACCAAGGTATGTACGTTACTAAGAGTTCCTTAATGTATTCACATCATATAGTCTATTTAGTTATGCCTTAATGGCGTAAATTTGATCAGAGAGTTTATAATTTTTCATCTTTATTTACATCCGTATAAGTGAAAATAGAGTCGGTTGTTTTGGTCAAAGGTTGAGTATTCATGGTCTTGCTAAAGGGAATATGATTATTGAAGGTAACATTCTTGTCACCATTTCGGTTAGGCTAGATTTGTTAGAAAACCCGTAAATATTTGAGGATAAATGATGAATCGTCATTTAACTAAGATTACTTAGCAACAGCAAATAATGCTAATCATAAAAAAATGATTAACAGAATTCGTCCATCGCACCATGGACAGCCAAGCATTCTTCAAACTTAAACACAACTAATCGAATATTGATATTTACTATTGACGTACTTGCAGCTTTAAAAGCCATAAAAATATGTGGAGCACTATGCAGTACAGCAGTAATTTTACCAAATGGCGATATACAGGGCGATGCGTCTGAAACGGCCATTTTGAATTTTCTCTGCGCTTACGATGATCCGGTTACAGTGAGGAGTAATTTTCCTAAAATTGCTGAAATTCCCTTTAACTCTACTAATAAATATCAAGTAGGTCATACGAAGTACCATATTGTTTTTTATACATATTTTTAAGCGATTAACTTTCAATTTCTTTATTAATTAGGTATATACCTGAATGAAGATGAGTTTTTATTATTTGTTTATTTCAGGCTAGCGTACATTTAAATAAAAGGCTATCTAGATACGTAGTCGTGATAAAAGGTGCACCAGAATGCATACTATCACGATGCACAGCAGTTGTCATGGAAAATGGTAATGTTAATATTACCAACGAAGTGAAGAAGGCTGCAGACAATGCCACTGAAGATCTTGCAAACACTGGTAAAATAATAACGCTAATGTTAGCGATTAACCTTTCTATCTAAAATATAGTTTAATATAGTCTGACATTTCTCAGGTGAAAGAGTATTGGCATTCGCCGACCTTATACTTGATCCAAAGGAGTTTCCAATGAGTTTCGACTTTGATACTGAAGAAATAAATTTTCCCTTAGAGGGTCTCCGGTTAATCGGAATAATAGGATTAAAAGATCCACCACGTGATGAGGTATATAAATAAACTCTTAAAAATATCCTAATCAAGTATTTTTTTTTATCTCGACAAATAGACGTCGGTGTGAATCCCGAAAAGCCGATATTTATGACTTTTTATCGTTCGCTATAAAAATATTTACAAAAATATCTACAGTGGCAATGAATTTAAGATTATATTTTTATTACTTGTAAAGGTTCGACAAGCAATTGAGCGTGTGCGTGCAGCTGGTATACGAGTCATGATGGTAACTGGGGACCATCCTGCAACAGCACGGGCCGTAGCAATAGAGGTTGGCATTGCCACCACTGCAGCCTGCCATGTGATAACTGGCAATGATCTAAGAAATATGACATCCGATTTACTATATCTGACTCTTGAGAAGCATCACGAAATAGGCAAGTTTTTGTAGTGGCAAACATTTTTACACCGACCTTTAAGAGCTAGGTACATTAATTTCGATGACAATTTTGTAAATACAAAAGCCGAATCGTGGATGAGATAACTTGATTATTACGACGACGTACCATAGTAACTAAATAAATAAATATTTTTACGTAATGTTATCCAGTCCCAAAATAAGCAAAGCTTGTACTATGGGTACCTAGTAGCCATAGTACATGCTAGATAATTTTTGAAGTTTAACGTCTTTTGGCGCGTTTGAAAAAATTATGAGAGTAAAGTTTTTACAATGCGCGCACACCGACGCTCAAAAAGCGACATGATGAAGTCATATAATTTCTTACGAGCGTACATAAGTATAAATGAGCTTACATAAGCACACATGTATGTAGGTACTTATGTAAGCACAAAATATGTACTTTTTTCTTTTGTAAATAAATACATATTAAAGATATGTACATACCAGATATAGATACCCAGACACTAAAAAACACTATGTATTCATCACACTTTTTTTTCCCGAGTGGGGATCGAACCCATACCCTCTGGCACAATCCACTATGCCAATCGGGTCAACTTTTAATACTCCGTGTTCGATTTTTTTTTTATTTCCAATTAGGTAATAAATGTCTAAAGCGTCATCAAGTCAAGGCTCTAGGAATGATCCATTTGTATAGATCCATCCATATGTATAGGTAAATAAATAAATATATGTATCACAAAATATTTGTATACATTATCCAGTCCCAAACTAAGTAAAAGCTCGTGCTGTGGGTACTTACTTGTTAATTGATAAACATACGTAGAAATGTTTTTTTTTGGTAAAAAAAAAATCGTTTTTTAAATTAATTATGCATCTATATAAGAACAATACCAAGACACTAAAATAACGGTTTAGCACCAAATATTTTTCCAGGAGTTGGAATCATAACTCCGTCAGAACACACGAGGGACTTACATATAACGCAATCGTGTTGTCGAAATTGTAAATCACGCGATAGAAACCTTGCTTGTACAGAAATGTACAGAAATCTTGCTTTCATTTTCTTTTTACTCTTTTATTCAGTGTTTGCTCGAACCTCCCCAACTCAGAAGCTTCAAATAGTGGAAGCTTGTCAGAGACAAGGCAGTGTTGTTGCGGTTACCGGCGACGGTGTTAATGACGCACCCGCTTTGAGACGAGCTGATATTGGTATATCCATGGGAATAACGGGATCACAGGTATTTTTCTTTTAATACATTAATGTTTGAGTCGAAACCAATAAGAAAGTACTGTCTCTTTTTAGGTGTCAAAGCAAACTGCGGATATAATCCTAATGGATGACAATTTCGCGACAATAGTATTAGGAATTGAAGAGGGTCGGAAAATATTCGACAACTTGAAGAAGTCCGTGTGCTACATTTTAATATCGAACGTGCCAGAAGTTTTACCAGTTTTCATGTTTATCTTGTTTTCCATACCCTTACCCTTAGGTTGGTTAACTATTCTAATATTTACGTTTAATCACCTATTTGAATCTCTCTTCATACAATTAATACTATAGATAACAATATTCTCACTTTTTTGAACCTAGTTTCGTCGAGATTATTAATTATCTAAGCAGTAAAATCAGTGCCGTATTAAGTAAGCGCGGGGCCAGTAGCAAATTCCTTCAAACAACCCTTCATCCGCTATGGGTTCTTAAGTATAAAGTGGGAAAAAGACAATAATCTTACTTATTTAATAAATTTCACTCAAATAATTAAGGGTCAGGTAGAGATCACTGGTTTTAAATATGCGGGGTTCCGCTTTAGCGCGCGGCCCGTAGCAATTGCTACTCTTGCTACGTGGTTAATCCGGCACTGAGTACAACGGATGAGTTTGTTTCGAAAGTTGGTATGTTCAATAGTGTGTTGTATTGTTGAACCCGCGAGTAAAATAGGTCGAAATATGCTGAATAAACTCTCTATTAATTCGAAGTTAAGACGATGTTAGCACTTAACATCTGGTGAACCAGCTCGTTTGCCACCTTCTCACTTAAAAAACTTTGTTTAGGTGTCATGACAATCTTGTGCATAGACCTCGGGACTGATATGTGGCCCGCCGTGTCCCTGTCATACGAAAAGGCGGAAGCCGACGTGATGGAGCGGCCACCGAGACATGGCGATCCGCTCGTCTCCGCGCGCATGCTGCGACTTGTTTACGGGCATCTCGGTCTCATTGAATTCGCAGCCGGCATGTACGCTTACTTCACTGTCATGGCGGAACACGGATTCTACCCTGCAGATCTATTTGGTACAACATTCACTTTTTTGTTTGAGTAGATACTAACTCCGGTAAACAATCCTTTGCAGAGAATGGAGACCATGTAAGGAAAATTAGAAAAATGGAAATTAGAGAAATGGAGACCATTAAATTTTTGCCCGCTGATTACTATTAGCATATGGGAATGAAACGATCGTTTCACTATGTTGTTTGTTTTTTTATTTTAATTTTTTTTCAAACTTTGAAGGGATGGGTAATTTTTCGTTTGGAAAGTTTCAAGTTTCATTATAAAGAACTTCCTTTAGGAGATCACAGATATAGAACTTCTAAGAGGAAATCAACAGAAATAGTCTTTTCAGGCCGAATTATTTTTGGACACTAAAAAAAATTAATTTCATCGCTTTTGTTCGAACCATTTTCATCAAACACTGGAACTTTTCTTTGTCTTCAGCTAGGTATTTCTATACGAGACATTTTATATTATTTCCAATACGAATACATTTTTGTAATTTCACCTATATGTATTTCTTATTTTGGGTGTTGTTCTTATTGTATGGAGAAATTGCTTTAATTTATGCTAGAACAGCAGACATAAAAACCTGGAAACATCTAGTGTCTTTAACCTTTTCTCAAATTCAAGTGTCTAGAATATATAAAAAGGTTTACGTCAGCATGGCATTGCGTATATAATAAACTGTGAGCTAGTGTGCATGACATTTGTTACGTAGCAGTATTCTGTTGGAGCCATATCTAAAACGATCGAGGCAAAGTTTCCATATTCCCTAGGGGTATATTCATCTTCAATACCATTCATCATATTGAAACGTAATCGTATTTATAAATGAAACACTAAGCGTTAATTAGCTCTTATGATAATCATACAGAAAAAAAGACTTAATAGATTGATTTAGCTGTTGCATTACATAGCTATCATTCCTTATTGGTCGTTGATATATATAACAATGTTTTTATGCTTTCTCAAAGCATACCATTATATTTCATTTTAGACCTGTAATAAAAGTATCTTGAATAATTTCCTTTGTAAGGTATCAGAGAGCGTTGGGACAATGAGGCAGTAAACGACGTACGGGATTCTCTGGGACAAGAGTGGACATATGCAGAAAGAAAAGAGTTAGAGCGAGCATGTCAAGCGACGTACTTTATCGCCGTAGTTATTACGCAAATGATGAACGGTGTGATATGCAAAACCAGGTTTAATTCCATCCGCGACGTTGGTAAGGTTAAGTCCAAAACTTGGGTGACACACAGTATTTCAATACTTATCCCTTCTCTAATGTTTCTTTTTAGGAATGAAAAATCATGTATTGAATATAGGGTTATTGTTTGAATTAGTCCTGGCTTACGGACTTTGCTACTTACCTGGGATTAACAACTTCTTTTGCACGTATCCCTTGCGATTACAGTGGTGAGTTGAGCAATATTTGGTTAAAGCATTATTGCCGTTGTCTTAATTTGAGGTAAATAAAAAGGGAATAAAATATTTTAGTAATACTAGTAACCTTACTTTAAAAATTATTCTTTATATGCCAACGTAAAAATTACTACGTAATATACATTACACGTCTGCGTACATACTATCTATCAGTCTATCTATCGAGGAAATGGAAGTGATTCCGCGGATGGATAATTTTAGTTCGGAGTAGTAGATCGGAAGGATAATTAATTTTGTGTACAAGGGCTTTAAATATACCAATTGAAATTATTTATAGAATTGAAATTTTTTATTTATTTATTTTTTTAAAAACATTGCCCTTACTTTAGGATAACATTATCCTATATTGTAAGGACGTTTTACAAACATACATTTCACACGGACAAACACCCAGATGCGAAACAACTATCTGTGGGTCAGACAAATAGTTGTCCCGTGTGGGAATCGAACCCACGACCCCAGACGCCGAAGCCGATACCTTGGCGACTTCGCGACGGAGTCATCAAGAATCTTAAATTAATGACAAAAAGTTTTTAATTCTTTGTTTCAGGTTGTTTTTAGCTATACCATTTTCTGCTCTGCTGTTGGCTTTTGGCGAATTTCGAAAATATTGCATACGAAAAAAGCTTTTTGGAGGTTGGTACAATGAAATGACGTTCTATTAGATTAAAGACCAGAACAAATATAAGATTAACGGCTGTAAGTATAACGACATTTAAATAAGATTCATATTGTAAAATTATGAGTGAATAAAAAAACCAGGGTGCATTCGTTTAAGTAAATTTATTTAATATCCTCATAGTCATAATGCCGCACAATAAAACCTTACATAACACATTAATTTTAATTAATTTAATGAGCAATTAAATATTTTATTTTTGTTTTATCACATTATGCCTATTCGCACAAATTAAAAAAAATATTTGGATTGAAATAACTTCAACTACTGAATGGACTAAGGCACTCAAAATTACACTTCACAACAGTTTGAATAAAAAGTTACAAAACTATAACAACATGGTACAATATATATATGACAAAAATGTGTGTAATGAAACAACAAGTAGCGCATTATTCTGACCAACAATAATAACAATTAACATTATCACATATTTTTAATAAAATCAATACTGTCATTTTTTGTAGAACTTAAATATATATATGTCGAAAATTATTACATAATTATTGTTTTACGAGTGCTTTTATATTCAACAATTAAGATCTTTTAAAAAAAAAACAAAATTAGGATGCTTAACAAATTCTAATGATATTATATCTTATACGTCATGTTATGAACTTTAGAACGTACCTAAATAAAATTATTCTAATATAACATATTATACTTTATACAGAATATTATTTTCGAAATATTAAATCGATACGGTTTTATTACATCATTTTTATATCATATCGTTGGGAAATTTTAAAAATATAATTTCTGTAGCAACATTACCCAATGCTATATTTGAAATTGAGAAAATATACGTTTATCCAAGAATACTTTCCGCGATAGATTTTTGTTGATCGTATATATTTTAATTTTTGAACACTAAGCGTAATACATTTTAAAACCTAACAGGCTCTTAACATGTTAGAAGCTTAGACCAATAAAAAAGTATAGACAGAACATTGCGCTCATATAAGTGGGAGATATGAAGGCGATTCGGTAATATGAGGACAGCAGTCGCAACACAACGCTTGCAACATTTTTCTCCAGCACACATGCGCAAATCTCCCGATATCTTACAAAGAGTTACGCACCCAAAGTGACACTAGTCCTCACATAATTCTTCGCGATTATTTACGTCGCCTCCGTCTATACTTTTTCTATTGGTCCGAGGTTATAAGTTTCGTCTCAGGAATAGTGAATAGGTACCTTTACAAGGGGCATACATTTTTTTACGTGTCGGCGTTACATTTTAAAGTAGCGGTCGCAATAAAATCTATCAAAACTTAAGTCATGATTTTCAATTGATGAAAGGCTCATTGTCACTGGAAATTAAATGTATTACTGCAAGTAATCTTTTTTTTTCCTAGATAATTTAACGAATACATACTTAGTTGTGACTCAAACCTTAAATTTACAATTGTAATATTTAAAATGAAGACTTGTTAGAATATGTATGTAGAATTAATTTAAATATAGTCTCTAGAAAATTATTGAATATACATAATTAGAAAAATCAGTTAAAGGTCGATAGTTAAGGAACCCTGTCTACCAATATATATAGAGAATTTCTAAAGGGATATGAATGATTTTATTGTAAAACGTCTGCATTAATATTACGAAATAGAGCTCTATAAGTTTTTTATTAGTATTAAAGACGTATAATATAAAACTTCTGAAACCAACACCTATATATTTTTCTACACCAAAATATTGCACAAGAAAAACAATAGCAGTTAATAAATCTTAAAGACTTAATTATGCTTTAATTATCTCCAAATTTATGGGAAGGTTTGTTTTGATTATAAGTTGTTATGGGTTAAGTTCCAGCATCGGTTTACTGTCAGTTGAAAGTATTACAGTAAAACAAATCAAATCCTTAAATAATTTTAAAGTTCTCTCAACTTTAAAAAGTATCGTATAGAATAACCACTAAAAGAAACAAACCACAAAAATAAACAAGCCTCAAAAATAATAAGTAAATACATTAAATCTCTCATCAAATATAGATATAAATAATGTTTTTTTAAGTAGTCGAATTTAAAAGGGTCTTAACAGAGATAACAATAAGACTATTTTACACTTAACAGGTAATAACAAAAAATATTACAATCACAGTAAATCTAACGATATGAAGTTAATGGTCCGAACATATTTAATAGTTAACCTACTATGGCCAAGACCATATACACATAAGGATTAGTTCACATTATCTACGTATTTTAGCAAATGATGTTCCTAATAAATGGTAATAATGGTTCGTTGCAATTATAACAGATTGTAAACAGAATTTATACTTTTTAAACATTCAAAATTATAATATGTGACTTTATAAATAAACTCGCGATATAAACTTTGATATAATCTACTCTTTGATGATATACCGTTACATAACATTTCTTTATTTGACTAGTAAAGGTTACATATTTTTTGTTTTGGCACTATTAAATGTATCTAAAAAGGTTAATAAAAACCGACATTAAAAATGGGTTTTCATTAAACTAAACGGGAAAACTTTTCAATAAAACATTTGCCATTTACAAATGGAATTACATTGTATTACTGAGGTCAATATTTATTTTATTTAATAGTCATTTTAAACAATGGTACGCATTTGTGTTGTGTATTAAAACATTTCACATCAAAGAATAAAAAAATAAGTTTTTTTTATTTCTGCTCGAACTGCGCAAGCGTTGATTTTTCTAAATTATTACTAATTATCGATTTCAAAAACCCTATAAATAAATAGATTTTATTGAGCTGATTTCTGGTACTTATCTCTAATAGAAAAAGTATTAAAGTAAACCTTCTGTGAAAGAAAAGATAATTATGCGTGTAGTGCAACTTCACAAAAAAATATTATAGGCACACTTATAGAAAAGTTTAAAAAATTGTACACTCGATTAATAATTTATGTGCCGAAGTGATAGAAAATTGATCTACTATGCTTTGAATTTTACCACCTAAAGTCTTTCACGGGACGTAAACAGATAATGAAAATTAAGTAACTCGGTGTATTATTATGATAAGTAAAATGGCCTTCAATTACTTTGTTGTCTGTCTGCTTAAGGCGGCCCGTGCTAGATGCGCGTGGATGGCTGCGGGGCTGCGCATATCAGCTATGGAGTGCCGCGTCTTCATCAGAGCCTCCTCTCGACAAACATTATCTTGCAGTATACACTCCATAATCTTAGCTACAATTGTCGATGGTGGAACATGGGGATTCCCTGAAATTGAAATACGAATAATGAAAAATTAATACCGAAATATTTTACGACGCACGATTTGTTATCATCTGCAAAGTACGTATTCCTATAAATATATAACGGGAACGGTAACTATTTAATTATTCGCCTCATCGTCACATTTGTAAATATATTATATTGCTCCATTACCTCGTTATTCTTGTCTAAATTTAAATGAATAGTGCACGTTTAAGAAATTTCTCGTATCTTAAAAAACAAAATGTTAAAATTTTTGTGTGTGAAATGACTAGCATAAAAAAGAAAAATAATGATAAAATACATATAAAACCTGAAGGATTAACTAATGAATCATTGAAATGGAGTTCTAACGAGACTATTGTACATAGTTCTTTCTGAAATTACATAATATTTGTTACTTTAAAATTTTTGCTGTCACTATTCTATATTTTGGGCACCAAGGCAAGATTCTGTTTTCACGTAAGATAAGGTTTTACAAAAAATTACAAAACCATCATTTAAATTTAAATACTTATACAAATTTATTATTAAAGAATTTATTTATTATTGAATCCAAATAATAGTCCCATTTCGCCTTCATTTCTTAGAAAAAATAATTTTCACATAAAAATGATTTTGATGGCGCCTTTTGAAAGAAGATTTTATTTATAAGGAAACAGATTTTATTATTTAGTGACTTATTGAAAATAACACCAAATAATAATTTAATTATGTTAATAGGAGCCTTGTTAATATTGAAGAAGTAGGGAAGTAAATTATTAATTAAAAAAATAGCTCTAACTATAGTTTTATATTTTTGTTTGCATTCAGATCAAATTACCAAATGTTATGTTTTTCTTCAATTATTTGTTATTATAACAATACCTACAAAGATAACTTATTTTATAATTGCGTGACTATTTGAAATTAACACAAAGTTTCAATTTAATTACCGCAGTAGCAGTTGAAACTATCTCGATGTTAATGAAACAGCTACTACTGAGATAATCTTATTTGATCGATCTTAATTTCTGCATCATAAGGTCGATTGTCAGTAGGCATTGATTTAGTTCTCATTCACTAAGACGTCCGCAAACGCGTCTCCGAACGCGTCTAGAAGACAAAAGACAAAGAGTATCGAGTATCAAATGCGATGGCTTCTAGAGACGAATTACTATGCATTAACTATTTCCGACTTATCAATACATCTAAATACTCGATACGGGTTTGCAATCTATTATAATACTCAGTCTGAGATCTATTAAAATACGTATTGAGTGAAACCTAGTGTCAGAACCTGTTCCAGGATATCTAAGAATAAGTAGAAACTAAAGAGAGAATATAAATTTTGAATAGAATATATTGTTTATTTTTGTTTTATATCTATGGTCTGTTGATCTGTGCTTTAACTCCTGGTTTCAATATTCAATTTATAGATAGTCAGATAGATTTGGTTACTGGAGATCGAATTTTGTAACACCTATGTGTGCTATGGAGCTAATGCCAAATACCTATTTCTAGTAACCAAATCTATTCTGTAGATTGGGTATTGAAACTGGCCGTAAATCCGTATGTGGTTTTGTACACGCAAACAGATAACGTACGTACATACGTAGGAAGTGCACGATTTGTCCGTGGGCAAACTAAATCAGTTTAAAATAGTCTCCGCCAACATCTTTTTATTTAATTTAAGCAAGGTCACGTCAATAAGCCACTAGAAACATTACAAACATATCAACCTACAAATATCCTGAAAAAGTGGTCTCTATCAGGAAACTTATTTAGAGCTTATGCATTAAATGTGCCTTTTAATGAGGCGATAAGTGTTATCTTTATGTATATAATTCTTCTGTACTTGTGTATGTCACTGAACTCCTAAACGGCTGGACCGATTTTAATGAATTTTTTTATGTCTTCAGGTCGATTCGAGAATGGTTTAGATTCACAATTCGGTCCACATTTTTAATATTTTTTTTATTTATAAGATGTTTTCGGATTTCAGTCGTGTTTGCAGGACAAGGTCTGTCGGGTCCACCGCACCGCCGCCAAGTTTTTTATAAAGTAAGTATGTTTCAATAAAAATTATAAATAGAAAATTGTTGATGAATTGTTTGTATAGAGAAACCCTATAATACATAGGTACGTGTATTTTGCCGAACATAATATGACATAAACAACGAAATTTGTAAAATAACTCTCATGAATCGTAAAATAAATAAACATATAATAAAAAAATTAATAAACATATAGGCATGTTAGTTAGTGAGGTATACAAAGCGTAAATCACGTAGAAATGATACTTACTGTACGGCTATATCTGGGATCTGATACGGACCGTGCAAGCCCGTAGGCACAGGTTTCATGAAACGGCAAACGGGCGTGCAGTGTTCTGTGAGTTTATTAGTCTTGTTAGTAGCACTAAAATACATTACATTGTTAAATTAACCTTTATAAAGCCCATGAACCAGCGGCAGTGATAATGGCGTTGATATGAGGCTATTTCTGGCCGTGAGTCAACTGCTTAACAAATGTTTGTAACAAATAACAAATTTGTTATGCTTGCGGTTTGTATGTTAGCAAAAGATTAATGTTAATATAATTTACACAGCCGCACAAAGTAAAACAACATCATAATGCTTTACACATATAAATAAAAAGTATTGTAGAAAAAATTTTATTGAGCATTAGACAAAATTAATTAACAGAACTCAGCCTCAACAACAAATTGTATAATATTCAAGATTTTACGAAAACCCTGCATTATAAAATTCTACCTGCTTTAGAGTAAACTTTTCGAATTATTTTAGTGCATACAGAAAATTCTATAATTATTCCTGTTAACATTACACTTTTAAAAGATAAAACCGGGTCCCTTAATGGCTTTTAAATGAGTATGTTGATGTTTTATTTAATTATAATGTTAGTATTATCCCATACCCAACAATGGTTTTATTTTATTTTTTATGGTAAAATGATGTTAGAAAGCATAAAATTACAATATTATACAAACATATTAATTTTAAATATTTTCCAAATTAATCAGAAAAATTTCAGATCAATGTAATCTGCAAAAAAGTACAAGCATCGCTGCTCTTACCTGTAAGGCCCCTGTATCCAAATATACCACAATCATGCATACGCATAGAAAGTTGCTCATCCTTTATAAATTGCTCCGTGCTTATTCCCTTCATCTGAAAGAGAATAAATATATTATAGTATTTACCATATGATTACGTAAGTTAATTTATATTGCTAATACTGACATCAACTATGCGAGTTTTATTATATGTGTTATAATATCATTTGACAGTTTGATGGATGCCTTAACTCTTAACGCCCCGCATTCACCTTGAAAATTTTATTCTGTTTACTTTATTTCCAAACATACAACACAACAGTGATTTACTGCATGCCAGTATTAATAATGTTATCTGAACAAAATTATGACCTCATACATTTCATTTTTATTTACTATGCTTTCAAAAAACTATTTGTGGATAAGAATATTAGTTTCTAAAGTGTGTAGTAAATTTATCAAGTTATCTATGTTATTTATACACAAGATATTATACTCAGCCATTTTAGATGATTGCTACATCAGATGCACAACCATATAGTTGCAGTTTTTAATCCCAGTCTCCCAGTAGGAGGCATCAAGGAATTTTTTGATATTTTACATATTGTACCAAATTCTCTGACAACTTTTGTATAAAAAATGTCTTACAGAGTAATTCTGTACTGTGTGTGTAATTCGCTTGTATCTCCAAGGCTCAACTTTATATAGCAGATATGTGAGAAAAGCACAGATAGTAGAACATTATTATAGTGTTAGCAATCTGTGTTTGCTTTGTCAGGATCAATAGACACAAGCTTTAAAACTTGAAACGGATTAAAAGTGTTACGTGTAAAGATACACCATCTTTGTAAATTTTCTATTAATGTTACAAGAAGCTGAACTAACCTTAGAAGGCACTAAAAATCTATCTGGTATTCTTTGTAATTTTTGCTGCTTTTCACTTGGTCCAAAACCCAATGCCAAAAGTACTGATTCTGCATCAACTTTCCTGGCTCCAAGGACATTTAAAACGGAACTACTACTTGATCCACTTGCATCAGACTGTAAGAAATGTAAATTGTTTACTAAACAGAGAACAGTACCACTACCAATAAGAAGGCAACATAAATTAATCTGATAATATTACAGTTATAAGTGAAATTTAACAATATTTAAATTACCTGAAGAGAATGGTCTCTAAGAAGTGGATTTTTAAACCTAGGTGAACATCCATCTGACTGAATTGAGTGATCTCTTTGTAGTTTCTTTTTAATACTTCTGTTATTTGGTGTACTTGTTAACATTCCACTGTCCAAAGATTTTCTTTTCCATATTTCTTGTTGAGAAGGGACATCTAAACTCTTGTCTTCATTGAGGTTTGTATTATTTGCCTCAACAACAGTGTTATCAGTTATGCTCTCCTCAGCTTTGTTTTCATCAGATTGGGTATTTTTTGTTTGCTCTTCTGTAGGTTTTTCTGCAATTTCTGAGTCTGCGGGTAGAGAATCTAGCCACTGCTGTACTGGGCTACTGCGTCTCATATCTTCAATGACTCCACTGAGCCAACCTCTTACTTTTCTTTCCAATATTGATGAAACCGATTCATTAAAAGTATCTGTAAGTTAAAAATAGTGCCCTCTAATATATCTAATCTTTATTTTATATTGATAGTGTATACCAAAAAATGTTCAACTGAATAATATGAAACTAACCTGCAAGATAGGTACTTTAAACAGACTTAAAAATTTAATTGTTATTAATATTAGGGTCAACTTATAAATTAATTGGATATAATGACTATAATCATTATCAGTATTGATGCAAATGTTTAATAAAGTGACAAAAACGTCTTAAAAATTGCATTAAAGTGGTAGACAAATATTTCCAATGAATTTAAATATGAATGGCAGAAGGATCAAAAAGAATAAATGTCTGATAACTTGGCAATGAGCTAAATGTTTTCTATGTAAGTTTGCTAAACAAACCTTGTTTAGACTCCATCCTGTGTTATATGAGGCTGCATGCAAGAGGAGGGTAAAACATTCGTGCCATTGATACATTACAGGTATAAAATATATAATAATATAAAGAAAATCACGTTTTACTTACCTATCAGATGTCTACTAAAAATTATATTATTTACTGTAACACGAAACAATTTCCCGTTATAACACTATAACACTATACCGTTCTATCTACTCTCAAATCTCAATTTTGTGGTTCTGTGCTTTGGCCGCTTTTGCTTTTGTCAACTCCAGATTGTCAGTCGTGACAAGCTAATAAATGTTGCTAGAATACATGTTTTGCCAATTATTGTACTGACTACTTGATGAAAAAAGGTTTTAGAAAAGTACAATATACCTTATTAGGAACGTTTTTAAGTCATTTTAAATAAAATTATTTTAGGCGATACGACATTGTTTAAATTATGACAATGTTAATAATTCACTGTTGAATAATAATAAAAAACTGTATTCAATTTACATCTCCCAATGCGAAAAGGTGTAAAAAATGATGCACTTTTTTATGGGAAAGCGTTAAACTCTATTGACTCGAGAGTATTCTTTGGCATAATTATAGATGTCAAACTACTATGTGGCACCCTTATACATATATTAATAAACTGGCGAATACACTTACCTCATGCAGCTTTCGTGGTTATAAAATAAGGCAGTGGAACGAAGTTGGTACGGCTCGTTTGGTCTATTTTAGTTATTTCCACAGTATAATGACTAATGGCATTCTACTTTGGGGTAACGCGACCGATATAAACACTATCCTCACCACCCAAAAGAAAGCTTTTGTTTAACCTGGGCCCCAAGAATACCGAGAAATTTGTTCAAAGAAATAAAAAAATGTTATAAAATACATAAAAAAAACATTTGAAAAACAAGCTTTTATTACGTTATTCTTATCCTTTAAACGAGCAATTCTTGTATATATATATATAATCGGAACCTCGGAAACGGCTCCAGCGATTTTCATGAAATTTAATATAAATAGGAAAAATCGAAAAATCGATCTAGCTAGGTTTCATTTTTAGAAAATGTCCTTTTATCCCTGTTTTCAGGGAATGAAAAATATCATTCGAATATGACGGTAAATTTCAGCGCAAAAAATGTTATAATAGCTCGGTCGGTAATCGGGCGGCCCCAAAATAGACGGCCGCGGTTCGTATCACGATCATTTACATACTTGCTTTTTTTTTCTATGACAAATCATTTTCTTTATTTTTTGTTTTTTTTTTTTTTTACTTCCAAAATACATGATTTACCAAAAAAACCGAGCAAAGCATCTCGTTCGAGCCGGGGTGCCCCAAGTTTCGGTGTTGGGCCCAGTATTGTTCACGCTCTACACCAATGACATGCCGCGTGTCAAAGATGTAGAACTTGCCCTTTTTGCCGACGACCTCTGTCTCTTTGCCACAGGCAGAACACCAGAATTAATTCATCGACGCCTTCAAGCTGCGGTCATCACCATCGGTGACTGGTTTAAGTTTCAGTTCTGTGCTAGAAATCGTCTGAAAGTAAACCAAGTGATATTACGTGTGCGTGTTTTTATTACAATGGAGTCTGGACGCGATATTTCTGGCCTTTCCCCGACATATACATCCAATGAGGGACATTATTGTGCACGCTATTTTCATTACGTGCCGTATGTAAGGAAGCTGTAATTAGAAAATTAAAATGTTATTCAAATTTACAAAATAAACTTAACTATAATTAACCATATTCGTCTGCGTCACAATAATCCCATATCGTAAGTAAATACACAAAATACAAAAATATAGGTACATACCGATTAGATATTTTTATTAAACCCTAAAACTTTACATTATGTATTTAATATTTGCGTTTCAATCCCATATACAATTTTTTTTATATAATAGCGTGTTACACTGTTATGGAACTTTAAAGAACCCTTAGCATACACACACATATAACACCTCCATTATTTTTCTTTTGCCTTTAAAAGAATTGATCTCTCGATTACTCACTAGGCGAAACAAAGTCCCCTTGTGGGACCGTAGTACTTTCTCAAACAAGGCTTTTTTAAGTTACGTGGTGGATATACTTACGTATAGCTTTGATAGCCTACGGCGTATATTGGCAGATTTATGGAAATGTTTTCGACTCTCAATGCGTGCCACCTTAGACCCCCCCTTTCCTCTTGGTACCTCCCGCTTTAAATGAAGCACGACTTCCTACTGGGCTCTTTCCCACGACGAAGCCAAGATTCAGGCCGCTCCAAGTCCAAGGCCCTATTTGGATGCATGCAGGACAGATTGAGGGCAGTAGAGGTTGGCTCACTTTCCCTGTCTTCTTCGACCAAAATGAATGGGGGAAGAGGGATGTTGGCATTGCATTTATATCCTCCACAACTTGACGGGGCTGAATTGCTGATATTTATACTTATAATGATTGTGGGTTCACTGGAGAAGAAGGGTGACATGGCCATGGTCGACCATGGCTGAAACTTGATAAGTAAGGTCCACCGGACCACAGAGGGTAGCTTTTTGTAAGCACTAGCTTTTCTTTCTGCTATTTCTTTTAGTTTATGAGAGCATTATGTTTATGTATACGTTCTTTAGTTTATGCATACGTGGCCGTGGGGGTGAGGGCGGGCTATGCCGGACTATTTGGCACAAGCAAAACTGGGCTTGAGAATTTCTATTCTGATTCCTATGTTCGCTCTGTGATAATTGACAAGACCGTAAGCAACGGGAGTCTATTTGCATAGACCAAATAGGTAGTGACGGTGCTTGACGCGGTCCCCGTAATTAAAGATTTTGAAAAATTATTCATCATCAAAATTTCAGTCTGTTTTAGTCCACTGCTGCATATTTATTACTTACAGTCATGAGTTGATGTTTACATTTTCACGTCGTTACGGGGGCCACATATGACGCACGTTAGTCCCGCAGGCAGATACTTCATCGTATAATGATCTCCTATAGCACCCAAGCTATAACCTATCTGGGACCTAGAACTGTCTTTCAATACTTGACGCGTCGAGGTAGAATCGTGAAACGTGAGAGCTGCGCTCGGGCGGCCATCGGCCCTATCTTTATTTTTCCTTTAATCGACCTGGTCGAGGAAGGGGACTTAGATACGCCGGACCCACCACCGGGGGCCCGCCGGATGACACTACACCCACAGTAAGTGCAACAACAAACACACTAATTCGCCCTCGCCTCCGAGCACGGCGAGACCAACACAACGCATACACAAGGTACACCCGCGTTCCGGGGCGGTTCTCACCGCTCCCAGCCACCGATTAGCTAATTGCACAGTCGACGGCCATCGGGGTTTCGGTCCGAACCGCGAGCTCGATGGCCCTTAGATGACACACCATACTTAAACGCACGCATGAGCACATGCGTGGCCCTACCCACAGCAGAGGGCCCAAACCCGTGGGTTCTGGCTAGCCCACCGGTTCTGCGTCAGATGAAGCTTTAATAGTCTCGGGACTGAAAGCAAAAACATCAGTTAATACAAGACTACAAGACTTTATTTTTCCTTCGTCTTTCCTCAATTTTGTCATTTTTAAAGATCACTCAAACTAAAGAAACAAAAAGCTTGCAACAGAGCTGTTTCAATTAAAACATTTTACCTATAATATAGGTCGCATAAATTTTCTCGTACTTATAATAATTTCTTACAGGCACCTTATGGGGAACAAGAGTGTAAATAGTGTGTCCCTTGCTTAATCCTTAATTTTGGCTTGACAATACTATAAGCAACTACTAATGATAGGTTCACTCTAATAACAAATAACTATAATAATTATCATTAAAGAGGTCTGTATTGATGTCATAGAAGTCATAATATAAGCATTGTAACTATTTAAGCAAGAACTTTTTTACGATTTATGAATTTTGTTTCATTGATTATTTCAAAATGAAAGGTCTGATAATATTAGTATTGTTAGACTTGATTTAGCGAGGGAAGATAGGATGGAGGGTTGTTGTTATGATCCCTTATTCACGGACCATAAATTTCATTGGGTAGGTTCGTATTCGAATAATGAGAGTTTAAAGCGTTCATAACTTTTATCGGAATTAAATAATTAACTCTATATTGTTAAATTTTGACAAATATTATATTTAACGTAAATATTTAAAAAATATTACATATTACACGTTTATATTAATTATAATTTGTATTTCGAGTGTAACACTCAAAAATTACCTTTTGTTTAAATTTTTGTAGGGCCTATCATTAGGTACACTACAGTTATTGTATAAGATCAGGGAAAAAAATAAAAGCTTACGCATTATAAATAAAGAATATTTATTTTTCTATAAACACATTATTCCTTTTATATTTTCAATGGTTCACATTATATAAATCGCGGATCGCGTTGGGCTTTCGTCAACGAAGTCGTGTGCGTGGATGGAGTGGTTGCGGTTAGGGCCGCTATGCGACGGCGATACGAAGGGCCAGCGCGCGCGGCTCTTCAGCTAAACGATTTGTGCATCGAGGTTGGGTAGAGATTAATCTAGATCACATTTGGACACTAATATACATGTATAACTACGTTCAACGAGTGTCAATATTGAGCGGTGTGCGTGTGTGAGGGGCCGCGGGGGCGCGCGGCGCGCAGCCGGCGTCACGCGGGCCCGTAGGCGCAGTCGCCGCGGCGCGCGCCCGCCGACTCCTCGCCCGGGAGGACCGCGGCACGCCGCCACTCGTCGCGCACACGCTCTACGTGGCGTAGCACGCGCACCACGTTCATACCGGCTAGCTTGCGCACGTCCTCCTCACTCCAGCTGGGATCGCGCAGCAGCTCGGCGAGCAAGTGAGGGTACCGCGACACGTCTTCCAAGCCCTCCGGCGGCGCGTCGATGCCGTCGTAGCCTGCCCCAAGGCCCACGTGCTCTACGCCCGCCACCCGCCGTACGTGGTTGATGTGCGCAACCACGTCGTCAACAGTCGCCCGCTCGCCACACGCCACGAGCTTCGCGTAAAAATTCACCATCACGACGCCGCCGTTCGCCGCGATCATACGCAACAATTCGTCCGGCACGTTCCGGCTCGAGTTGCAGAGCGCCGCCGCGCCGGAGTGTGAGAACACCACGGGCGCCTGCGACGTTTGCAGCACGTCACGCGCGGTCTCCTCGCCAGCGTGCGAGAGGTCGACGATCATGCCGAGGCGGTTCATTTCGCGGACGACAGCACGACCGAACTCAGTGAGCCCACCCGAGGTGCCAGCGGCCCGCGCCCACCTATTGTCGCACGTGTGCGTCACTGTGAGATAACGAGCACCGAGCTGATAGAACGCCCGCAGAACAGCCAGCGAGTCACCGAGGGCGTGTCCGCCTTCGACGCCTATCAGGGACGCGATTCTTCCCTCCCTGTGAGCGTCCAATAGCTCCGCGGCGTCGGTAACCAACGCAAGGTGTGCAGCGTTCATATCCACTATTCGTTTGATAACGTCCATCTGTTCGAGCGCGAGCTGGACGGCGTCACGGTCGCGCGCGCCGCACGGCACGTAAGCGGACCAGAACTGGGCGCCGACCTGGCCGAGCCTGAGCCGCGGGATGTCCGTGTGCGACCAGCGCGAGCGCGCCCACGGCTCAAGGCCCTCGAGGCCGGCGGACAGGTTGAAATCACTGATTCTATTGTGCAGAAACTTTCGAACGTTCCACGCTAGGTCGTTGTGACCGTCCACTAGAGGGGAGTCCCGTAACATGCGTCGTATGGTGACTAGGCGCTGCTCGGGCGTGGCACGCCCGCCGCCGCCCAATGCCAGGGGCAGGGCGAGGGCGGCGCCGAGCGCGGCGAGCACCACCAGCGCCGCCAGGGCGATGCGCCAACGCGGCCGCCGCGGCGTCGGCTTCTCGTCCGAGCTGCCAGAAGCGGACGCCGACAACGAGTCCGGCGCCCAACGGCCGCACCTCTCCGCTACGTCCGGCAGCGAGCCAGGAAACGTCATGCCCTCGGGAACGGCGGCCTTGAAAGGAAACGGAAGTATTATATAATTGATAGACCAAGGCTCTAAGCCCGCACATATGAAGGATTCATTGCCATGGAATCTTTTGAAATTCGGAAATAACTTTTGTAACAATGGCAGTGTAACATTCATAACTCGTTATTGTTTTATTATAATTTTCTTCTGCAATACTCTTACTTTGGATTTTTTTCTCTGGGGACTAAGATTAAATGAAGTCTTGAGATTAAATTGGTATTGATGATGAAGTTACACTGATGTAAAAAAATTATGAATAAGTAATCGTTGGGAACTACTTGAAATTAAATATGTTCTTTAATAATCAAACAATAATTTATTGTTTTTGTCTAATTGAGCTTGATTGAGATGATATGTTCATTACCAAAAGTTTTATCAATTAATGATATGCAGGCATAAATTTGTTCAATACAATTGACCTATTTCTTATGTGTATCATAAACTTTTAGAAACAAAGTTGCAGAATCTGTTTAAATTACAACTAACCTCCTTGAATAAAGAATGCAGAAATAAAATATATACTAGGAAGTATTTTATAAAATATAAAAGGGAAAACAAACAAAACAAGTAAAAAGAAATGGACATGGGCAAAGCCGGCCGCAAATAAGAAAATTGGTCTCCGATCATTAGCTACTCGCATTTTCTGTGTAAAATTGAAACTTGAAAAGGCTTACGCCTTTTAATTAGTCCCTTCTTTATCTCCGTTTTATTATTGGTACAAATGGAACGGAAAAAAAAAGAAACCAATACCCTCTAGATGAAAGCACGGATGGTTTGCTTGAATAAAAAGTGCGCGGGTCGAGCAATAACTGTTCTCAGGTCACGGACACAGCCGCCATTCGCTTGTTTTTGAGTATATCGGACATCAAATACATTAATTTTCCGGCTCGGTTCATTAATGTGCTATGATTATTATAGCGAATGAATAATAGGTCTCATGTAGATACAAAACTTTGCAAACAATATGGCCGCGTGTGTACATTGTAATTTATTATTCTGCCAGCCTTTATCCGGGGTTGTTTCCTGATTAAATATAATCTCTTAGACGCGTGCCGCTGAACAAAGATGGATTTAAATGGCGGTAAATGTAAAACGTATTGCTGTCCTTAATAACGTCATTATTGGTTATTACATGAAATAAGTAAACATGTGAGATAATATTCTCAAATAATACATTAACTTAATAATGAATGCAGCATATTAATCTTCTTCTCCTTTCTACTGCCGTTGGGACTTGGTGAGGTCGACGGAACATGTGAATTATGTTATATACAATATTACTTCAAAAAAGTGAAATAAAGACTACGGTTGTCGAGGAGAAATGAAAACTTTGGGCGATAATAATTCAAAGTAATTAACTCTCTTGGATGATGAATGTAGAGTATCCCTTTAATTAGGCTGGAAAAGAATTAGAAACTTTGTTAATAATTCTTCTTAGTTAATTCCTCTTCGCATTATATCAATCCGTTCTCTTAAAAATGCTCATTTTAAGGGGGTGGTCTATTAAATTCAAAATACGCATTATTAAATATGTCCGTGGTAATAATAAAAGCTGAGCACTGTTATTTAATTACGTATATGTGTCAAATGACAAAAAATAAAATAAAGAATGCGAGAGACATTAGAATCGAGTTTACCGAAGACAATTTATTTTTAATTTTAGTATACAATATTCACGATGAAGCATTTGAATATTGCCGAATTAGAAAAAAATATAAGTAAGAAATATTTCCGGTAAAATGTTGCTGTATGATAGATGAACAAGGCAGTAGAGTTCAAGAGGTGCAGATGTTTGTATCTTCAGGCATGACAATAATTTGCCGCGTGTTCAATTATGCAAGGGGCACACATAATAGGGGGAGGTGCCAGGGGGGACCTGAATAGCCTCTGACCCATTTACAGAGGGACTGGTGGCCTCCATTTGACGGGATTTCAGCATTCTGTGATAATATTGTAGTTATTGATGTTCCACCTTCGCAGCGTAACAATAGTTACAGTATGTTAGTGTTTATAAAAAAAAACATATTTGTAGGTTGACATCACCAGCTAAGCAGGCGACAAAGGTTTGTTTAAATATGCTGGATCTTTAAAAATACTTTATGTGAGTTGAGTGACTTTATGTTATTTCCTAATAAACTAAATTATCCATTACGTATATTTTTGATTTATTAGAATAACTTTTATTTCTATTTCATATTCTATTCTTTAATTTCTTTTACCTTTATTTATTACTAGCTGCTCCCCGCGACTACGTCTGCGTAGAATAGGCTGAAGACGTAACATTCAGACAGAAAGACAGATATGTAAGAAGAATGATGAAGATATGAAAGACAGATACGTAAAATATGTATATAAATTAAGTTAGTTATTAATTAGCCTTATTTTGTCTTATTCTGATGTGTAAGCTATATTATTGTAAAGTTTCATTAAAATCCATTCAGTAGCATTTGCGTGAAAGAGTAACAAACATCCATAAATACAGACTTTCGCCTTTATAATATTAGTAAGGACATCCACTTGTTTTATACTAGGTGTAACTAATATTTTGGACACTTATGATATAGAACAAGTTAATTTATATTTGTACTCTTTTTAACTAATCAGTGTAAAATTATTAATGTAATATTTTTTTCTTTATCTTTTTTTTAACGTTGAATTTTAAAAAACTTATTAGCGACCGTGTATCAACAAAAATTTTCGAAATAGTACAACGGGCCTTTCACATATTATTAGCATAATATAGAACAAAGAGAGGTGACGAAAAGTGGATCCATTGTTTCAAACTTAAAAATAAAAGGCAATCCGCAGAACGAGTGTTTCCTTTCAAAGAGTTATCACCTTTCGCCTCGGGCTGCTTTGAAAACAAAAATAAAAGAGAGCTAAATACTGAATGCAAAATAGCAGAAGGTTTTCCTACTGTTTTAATAACAGACTGGACAAAAAACGCAACAGTATCAACTTATTTACGCATTCTTTTATTAATTTCAGCACTCATACATAAACTATAAAACATTAATCCAAAAAGTTGCTTTATGTCATTTTAAAAAGAATTAAGCGTAGAGTGGTATGAGAGCAATGATATTTTATACTAATATGTTTTGTTTACGCGCTCGAAATGTAGCCATGAAAACGTCCCAATTGAGATGTCTTGTCTTTCACGTTAGACGTGGTGTGTAACATTTTACAATAACAGAAATAACGTCATGTGTTTTTAAAAGATATACCAAGTACGACTCGTAAAGTTAATTAAATCCAGGGGATCTCATATCATGTACGTAATACAATATATATTCGATTTATTAGTATCCTTAAATTATTTTCCTAATATTTTATTTTTTTAGACAACTTTTAGATAGATAATATAGCAAATAAATTTAATACCCGGATGAGAAAGAAGCACCTCCGGATATAGATTAACAAGCAGACAGACGAATATCTTAGGCAGTAAATTCATCGATACTTCGCAGTTCAGTTTTCTTATTTCTTCTATTAATTAATACGTACTTGTTTTATGCATCAGTTAGTATTTGATATAAAATAATTGAAAAAGTACTCATCTAAAACGTTAAATCACTACATAGTATAAAAAAATGTCGTCTCGCTATCTGTCTGTCTGTCTGTCCATATGTATGGTTAGATCTTTAAAACCACGCAACGGATATTGATGCGGTTTTTTTACTAAATAGAGTGATTCAGGAGAAGGGTTTATGTTGATGTGTGTAATACATTGCACCCACGTGCGAAGACGGAGCGGGTCGTTAATAATCATATAAATTAATCTTGTGAACATTAATGAGAGTCGACTTAAAGAGTGGTAACATTCATATGGAATGTTTTTAATTTTTGTCTTTTATTTTTTTCCAAAGTGTTTCATCACATTAATACTTCTTTTTTATTTCATTGCTGATTTGTATCAAGTTTTAGGTATCTTGGAGTAATAATACTAAATTAACTAAGAAAAAGGCAACCTAAACTGCACGCCCTTTTGATCAAAGACGCGCCACTGTTTTAATTGTGAGCAATAATTTCTTGGGGCTTAGCAGGCTTTGTTTCCGACACGAAATGTTACGGCCTCACGATTCGTAACTTGTAAGCTAACATTCGTATTTAAGGGGCAATGTATCTGCACATAATGAAACATTTAGTCAGCATTTGATCCTTCTGGTACATTCTATCAAATTCATCCCTTTAAATATCTTATGTATTATATTTTGTTTGAGGGGATCTTCCCCTCTTGATAAAATATAAAATATATTGTAAACAATTTATTTCAGCATATAGTAAGTTATCATTGTTGTTTAATGCTTTCTTTATTTTGTGTCTGAACTGATGAACATTGTTACTGACGGCACTTTTGGTTTAAATTTTAAAGCTTGAAATCTATAAATAAATATTGGGTTTTACTTATATGGTACTTATTATTTTGTTTTAATTTATTTTCATATGGTATATATGAAAAGGTTTAATTTAATTAAGTTTACTTGAAAATTTACCTAATCATTTAATTTTCCAACTTATTACTAATAGTTCTAACCATACAGACTTTTCTCCATTTGCAAGTCCAATATTAGTAAAGTTTAGATGTGTTATGGCTATGCAACAGTCAACGACGTAGCTCGAATGGGCAGGTCAACACACGACAACACAGAAGACCGGCGTGAAGTAGATTTAGTATACTTCTTCGTTTCGTTTGGTGAGTGACGTAGCCGGGTTCGACTTTATTAAAAACTAGCTGTTAACCGCGGCTTCACCTGCGTCGCAAAAGAGAATTTACAATGAGTTTTTTTTTACACACCAGAATATCTGGCAGATGGCTGAATTTACCTACTTAGTTAATACTTATTATTATCTATATTTTGTACATTTCACACAATACCTTTATAAATTATTGTTAATATTAAACTATAAAATATTATTAACATTAATCTAATAGATATTAAACACTTAAATGTGTAAGCATACTTACCACGCATAATAACTTTAAT